CAGGAGCAGTCTTCTCAAGGCTTCTGGGATTAGCACGCTGCTTTGCGTAGCTGCAAAGGTTTATTCTCTTGTTGCTTTGAATCCCATTTTACCACAAATTATATCAATTTTCTGAAAAACCTGCAACTCCAAGTCAAAAGTGTGTCCCTGCCTGAGTCAGCAAATCAGATGGGAAATAGCGTGGGGGCTAGAGAAAATAATTGTTCATATGAAGGTTACTGGGGGGTGGGGTGGGGGAAAAACACACCATATATTCAGGCTGTAAAGAACAAGAAGGCAGGCTATTCCTCTCATTGCTGGTGAACCAGGAGAATAAGCTACTCCTTTAGCTGCCTGGCAGGACTCAGCATGCCACAAGCAACTGCTACAGACCTAGAGAAAACTAGACCTGACTCCTCTGGTGGTGATCACAGAATCACAGAATTTCTAGGTTGGAAGAGACCTCAAGGTCATCAAGTCCAACCTCTGACCTAACACAAACAGTCCCCACTAAACCATATCCCATATGATACTGGTTGCAAGCACAGCAGGGACCTCAGCATCTCTAATGGGAGGAGGGAGACCTCTGGTCAGCAGTGGAGGTTGCTGCAGGGGAGATGGGAGGCCATCTAACCACAGCCTCTCATCACCCTCCCAAACATCTTGGTGGTCTTATGGAAAGGGCAGATAGCCAAGGCAAAGCCAGTTCACTTTATCTTTTCTTTTTCTCACCCTTCAGTGAAGGAAAAAAACAAAAAGTCAGCCACATTTTCTTGCAGTACACGCTCCAAGGTGCTCTCTTTCTCTGCAACCCAGCAGTATTTTGCACCACACTAAATCCTGGCACAGACATTATAGATATTATCCTGAGCTTTCAGAAGGCGAGTCTGAGATTTACATCGCATGAAAGGAATCCTTTTCCCTCTGATGAGACTATCCCATAGCTACCAGAGATCTGAAAAAATCCCAGAAAAAATGGCATGTTAGCAGCACCTCAAACACTCATCCTTGGGACAGCAACAACTGAGGAGACTACACACAGGGCTCTGCGTTTGCTGAACCATCCAAATTCTTCCAGAAGGACCATGCCAAATCCAAAATCCCTTCCTGGCTTTAGGATAGGTCTTAACCTAGAATTTGAACATCTGTGGTCCCTGGAAGAGCTCAACTCCCAGAGCTTCACACCCCCTCTGAGCAAGGTCTCTTAAGAAAGAAGACTTCACCTCAAACTTGTGTTTTCTCCTCCTACCATAAGGTCTGTTACAAGATCAAGCACCCTTATTTTAAAATAGGGCAGCAGTCAGGCTGAGCTTTCTGCTTGGGCTCAACCACTAACAGGACAGAAGGCAAACATTGTAAATACTATGAAACACTGGCAGGATGTGGAAAGTGGGTTTTATGCATGAAATGGACAGTTTAAGAAGCCTCCTTCATTTGTGGTCTTTTCCACAACAACGAGGCTTTCCTTTTGCAATTCTTTTTTCCTCCATTTACTTTTGCCAGAAATTAACTTGAAACTTGCTCCTGACATGGAGGAAAAAGCAGTTTTGCTGCTGGGATGAAAGGCGAAAGGCTGCTGAGAGACTCCAGAAGCACTTGGAGCTGCAGTGTCCTTCTCTTCCTTAGAAACATCACACTCAGGATGCTTCCACCTTCCATCAAAGCAGTCGCTTACCTTAGGTCATCTCCTCCTCCAAGCCGCCCTCAGTCAGGCTCAGCTCTCCACCTGGGAGCTCAGAGCCATAGGCAGGAACACAAAACGGGTCAAACACACAACAGGAGAGCACAGGACTTACCAGGAAGAGAGATGTGACAACCAGACTGGGGAGCAGGTAACAAGCAACAACATTTTCCATGGATCCAGCAGAAGGAAGATGATCTGCCCCAGGCAGATACTCCAGTAACACTGTATTGTTAGGTACGTTAGATGCTAAGAATATGCGGAGCTAGGAACTACTCTTTACTAGCATAACTGCAAACAGCATTGAAGGTAAGAGACTAAGAAAACATCAACATCAGCATGTTAGTTCAGATTCAGAGGGTAAGCTTTTGCAGTAAGCTTTCTACTTACCTCCATGCAAACTTTGATTTGCACCATGAAGCAGTGTCAAACCACAAAAAGAGGAAGACACATTCCAAGAGCGCACCTGTCTGAGCTGGGCAACCAGTCCACATGAACAGATCAGAGCAAGTCTGAAGTGGAACAAAAACCCTCGTCTAAAATGACTGTAGCACCCGACTACCTTGCTGTAAGGAGATTTGCTTGTCTGAAATATTTTCAAATATAAAAGTTGTTCAGGAAAAAAAGAGTGAAAGTACATAACCTTTTTACCAGAGATGGGTCTATGCCCTTTGAAGTCAGAGAAAGCGAGATCTCCATAGAGGTTCTGTAAAGATGGATTAAATGTCATTTAAGATTAAGTCAAATTCGCCCTCCACACAGCTCTGCCATCAGCATAGGCAGAGTTCTCCTACTTCAATTAGCCCTGCAACTAACAGGCTTACCAGTTAAAACAACCATTTATCTTCAATCTCCTGGGGCTGCGGTGCTGTCATCTACAGCTGTGCAAAGTGTTGGCTTAACAGCTGTGTCCTTTAAGGCTCAAGTCCAAAAAAATGCTTTGTTATGGCATTCTTGTCTCTTGTATAAAAGGATACCATTAACATCTATAGCAAATAAGAAGTGCTTCAGGAAAAATGCATAAATAAAACCAGAGTTTTTCCAACAACTCACACTACCTGTGATACAAGCCTGGAGCTGAGCTAAACTTCTGCCACCAACTGATTAGCAACCATATGATGAGCAGAGTCTTGGATGGACAAAGGGCAATACACTGACTGTTCAGCCGGGTTTGAATCCTGAACAGCTCCTCCCTTAGGTTTTCTTTACTGATGTGGATGACAAGCACTACAGCCCTCCTACTAGTCAATGCTTATTTGAGTCCAGAGACAGAAAAAACTCCGCACAAGAGCCTGCAGGTCAACATTCCTGTTCTCATCTTTCATTCATTGCACTAAAAAGGGCAACTATAACACACCAAGAAAAATCTGTCCTTGTTCCTTTACCCAATAAACCATGACACACCAGCACACCTGCTGACTTAAACTCCCTCTATAAATAGAGCATTTACACAAGCTGTTATGTATGGGTGACTTACCTTATCAGTCTGATAAGAGCCAAGTTTAGTAACAACATTTTTCCTTTATTAAAAAACTAGAATATTGAGGAAATCCACACACAAGGAAAAAGAGACAGCGGCTGGTTTCATGAGTCTTACTCTGTTTCAGAATGTAGAGTCCTACAGAAGTACGAGGTTAGAAACAAAGCCTACTTACTGTTTATAGAAAGAATCCCTCCATGTGGCAGCCATGTCCTTAAGACAACGTCAGACTTTCGATTCATGCAAGTGAACTGTTTTAGATGAAGCAACAAGAAAGTATCTCATTCCTAAAAGCAAGCTCATTCATAGACCAACCCTCCTGAAACCCGCCTGTGTCTCCTGAAAGGACAGCTATTAAACACCTGTCAGCTTTTCACTTCGAATGTAAGGGGCCCATCCTCAAGATTGTGAGCTAGGTCTCTTCACAGCATACTCAGAGTTACAGATCGGAGCATAACACAAATCTTCTCTGATCTCCAGACTCAAAGGGATTATTCTGAAGTCAGTAAGATTCCTACAGGATGACTGTAACATCAAGCTGATGACAGTGATGGCTTCCCTCCCTTCTGCTTTTTTCCAAAAAAAAACAAACAAACAAACAAACAAAAAAACACTACCTCACAACACAAGGTCTTAGCGCCCCTAGTGGGTCTCACACTGAGAGGTCTGTTTTTCATTATTGTACAATGTCCCAACCAGGAGTTCCTGAATGATACGTGGCTTTTCATTAACTCACTGTCATTGCCTGCCCTATTTACCCCAGTAGTTTATAAATCCTGCTTTAAAAAAGCAATTCAAATTTAACACCATTTCCTCCCACCTCTCGTTTACAGGCTCATTGTCTCATAGAAACTAGAAAAAAACACCATTCTGAAAAAATACCATCCTGAGCAGTTTCTTCTAGCAGGTCAGAAGCAGAGTTCCAGGAGCATATTATAAGACAGGTTGTCTTTATCCAGAAGAGGAAAAATTAAAACCCAACCAAACCAGGTGTTAGCAGAAAGAAACATATGGAAGTCTCCCTGTGGAAACCTTTAGGACAACAAATACCAAGTTTCCAAAACACTGTTGTGCCGGAGACACCAAAACCTCTTTGCAATTGTATCTAAGTATACCTTGTGGCTCCTCCTAAGAGATAAGCCATAGATGTATTTTGCCAAGGTTGTTTAAGTGCTTTCATCAAAAGCTCATTCAAATGTGTCAACAAACTGATAAAGACAGCATCACTAGAAGCCCACATGAACTGATCGGTCACTAGCATGTACTGAGCTTTTTTCAATTCAGTTTTCCTTATTTATGAGGAAGGAAGCAGCACACTACAAAGGGATTTCAGGGCTTTTTTTTTTATTGCAAGTCATTTGCTTCTGTAACATTTGATAACTATTTTATCCACAGTAAACTGAGGAAGGTTTACATTAATGTTACTTCCATTAGCTATAGCACAATATACAAATATTCAGATAAGCTTCCAATACGCATCCTCATTTCATCGTCGTCCAGCTCTACTCTTCAGTGCTCTTAAAGTTTTCCTCATGATTGGTGCAACTTCTTTAATAAAAAAAAAAAAGACCAGTTAGGAGTACAGCATAATGTGAAGGACAAAGTTATAGTAGCATAATATTAGGTATACATTGATAACCAGCAAGTTAAAGCAATTATCCTGATAATCTGAGGAAATTCCACTTACTTTTGGTAGGCTTCTTTCCATCTTGAGTTGTTCCACTTGAGCTAGAGCTTCCACTGTTGCTAGTAGGGTTTGGATTTGATGAATTACTGTTTCTGTCTCTGCTTTCTGAAATCTGTGTTCTTTTAAAACCAGGAAATAAAGAGATTAGCCTTTTTTTTTTTTAAATAAGAACTGCCATTCACTCCATCACATTTTGATAAAAAAAACATCAGTGTTTTAACAAGTCTGTCTCCTTATCAGTACTGTGATACATTTAAAATCATAGAATAATTCAGGTTAGAAGGGGCCTCTTGAGGTCATCTAGTCCATTTCCATTCTTGCACAGTTTTTCCATTCATTAGATATGATACCTCTTATTTGTCTTTAATGTAAAGTGATCTGTATTTACGACAGATGGAGCTATTATGATGACTAATAAGCTGTTGGCCTGTGTTCTAGTTTGGTCTGTGATTTTTTTGTTTGGTTTTGAATACAGCTGAACTACTAATTGTCTCTTTGCCAGAAAGTTAGGAAAAATTCACACTCAAGTTTTCAGGTCTGTTTTGTTTTTCTCCTTTAAGTTAGAAATGCCCAGGAAAAGGCACAATAACTAGCCCTAAATATTAGGTTGGAAACACCAAGTAACAGGACAAGGACTGGGATGGTTGCAGTAGGCATCAGCTCTGTGTAGAACAGTTAAATCAACACAGCATTTAACTGCCCAGCAATCTGGGCAGCCTTGTACGCCTTGGAGCCAGTCACTGAGGCCTGCTGCCAGTTAACATAAAGCACTGCATGGCAAACACCAAACAGCCTGCTAGGGATCTGCATGTGTGCCACAGGACCTTTTTAGCCCCTGTAACACCAGCTTCATAAGTGAAAATTTCAGCTGTACACAGTAAAGCTGACAGAAGGTTTTCAAAGGACATGTTCAAAGAAGCTAAGAAGTTAACTCATCATGCCTGAACAAAGTTTTGTTTCTCGAGAAGGCAAACCCTCCTTGCAGTTCCTTTCACACAACAGCAGTTTGTCCTAATTTAGGATGCATAAAAAAATATTATGCTGTCTTTGAGTACATTATTCAGTTACTAGGACAGAAAGGACACTTACACTACTGTACTGAAGCACAAACTGGAAGGCTAGTCTGTCACAACAGATACAACCTCCCACAGGGTAACCAAAAGCAGAAGCCCAACTTGAAGCGCCTTAAGCTACTGCATTGGTGTTGGACCATCTTTGCATCAATAACAGCAGTCTGGAAAGAAGCTTCCTAATTTAATCACCTAAAAGGTACAGATGTAAAAAGAACGTCTCCAGTGCAAAAGCTGTTTTTGAGGGTTTCCAACATGTGGGCTGTCATTCCTGCCCCATACCACCACTGTCTTGAGCAAGACAGTAGACAGCTAAACTGTAAATCAAGTTCCTGAAGTCAGCAGACTTTGATTTTATATATATATATAAATATATATTTATACACACACTTCCACAAGTTTCTGTTGTTTTTGTGTTTTCTCCCCTCTCCCATAAGCCCAGGTCTGCTCAGCCTTAGGCACATGAAGAATTACTCAGCACAACTGCAAGCCCTGCAACACAAGGACAGAAACTACTTACAATGACTGCTGACATTTTCAGTGACTGTCAGTCAGTTTTGCATCATCTTTGCAACAGCTGAAGTTTTATACTCCCCAGCTACCTGTCACTTTCCACTTACATATTTGTCAGCCTGCATTAACTGCTAATTCAAGAGTAACCCAGATCAATTAAAACAGTTTTTCCCCCTCAAAAGGATCATTTTTGAGGCAGGCAGCTGCAGAGCAGTTATGCCAACAGGGGAACACCCACAAGCTATGGGGAGAAGGGAAGGCACGGTGCTCCTCACAGGGAAGTAAGTGACCACAGCACAAGACACCCACATCCAGGCAGTGTGAACAGTCTCCACTGTTTTTACAGTCCAACTGCTGCTACGTGGACTTATCAACCCATGGGGTGCTTTTAAATCAAACTGCTGATTTTCTTTTGGACAAGAACAGATATACAAACATAAAGAAGTCTCTCCACATACTTGAGAAGGGAAAAGGGGGTGGAAGTTGGTGCTACAGCTGTTTTTTCTCCCTGTTGCATGCTCTTGGGTATAAGAGGAGTTCATCAGGACAGCACAAATAGCAGGACAAATCCCATCTCTCTGCTTCGGTTCCTATGGCTGCTGAACCACTCTGAATTAAGTTGTCAAGAGGAGACCTTGGGTTTGTGCTGTACGAAGAAAATATTTGAGGAATCCCAATTTTGTGTTCCTCCAGTGATTAGTGTTGGCTACTGCCACTGACTGACTGTTCCAGACACTCCTTCAAGCTGCCAAAGTAGAAGGCCACAATCCAGTGTATTAACAGTTGCTGAGATTCACTCTGGTCAGCTCTATCACTCTGGACAGCTCACTGGGGATTTGATGAAAACAGAAGAACATGTGAAACTATTAGGCAGGTTTATGAACACCAAACATCAACACTGGGATCTCCCCAGGATGTCAAGCAGCATTAATGTGATCTGGAAGAAAACAAGAGTGGCTGCTCACTCACTAGCAGGGAAGATGAATTCATCCCTGGCACTTGGAGAAACACATGGTGACAATACACACACAGCAGGGGAGCACACAAGGCTTAAAAGGCAGCTTAGCTTCTAGCTACTTAAAAAAAGTAGAGTAAACCCAGAGCTACTTACAACAGCAAAATACTTTGCCAGCAAACTTTAGCACTGACAGAGATGTTTAATCTCAAATTAAACACACAGCACAGGACACTTACTTGCACTTCTCCGTGGGATGAAGCTGGGTGACAGGTCCTGCTGTCCCATGGATTTCTTGTTTTCGGCGAATATTCCTGGGTGGTTTTGCTGCAGTAGTCATGTAAGCCATTTTTACTTGCCGGCCTAATACAGAAGCAAGGAGCAGAGGATGTGATTTTTCCTTACTTATGTTTGAAAGTCAGTTGAGAAGATGGTTATGTGGCAATTTCTAGGTTTAAATTGCAAAAAGTAATCATTCAGAAAAAAATATGATAGCAAAGTAGTAACTGAACCACAGCAAGTCACATACAGTATTCCTTCACGTTAACTTTGGTATTTGCAATTGTATCTGTATTTTTTGGTATTTGTCATTAAAATTGCACTGTGTGGTTGCCTAGAACCCTCATTCTAACCAGTAAGGTAAGGCTTGCGTACAGCATGCTGCAAGCATTACGCATTATTGTACTGTATTACTGTATATGCTCACTTTGTGTGCAACCTGTAAGTTAAAAGGAACAGCATCCTTACTTGATGCCTTCTCCCTGAGACACAGTATCAGTGATCAATGCAAACAAACCACTAAACACCACACAGGAAGTATCGAGAAGAACAGAAGAGACTGGGTTTTGAAAACCAAAAGGCTACCCACTTTTTTTACCTTTTGGTTTCTTAGCCTGCGCTGAAAGAATGTTTTTTGTAAGCGTCTTCAGTCTCTCCTCCCTCTCATTGTAGAGCCTCAAGTACATTTCACGCCAAGATTCATATTCCAGAAGCCTCTCATTTTTAAAATCCCTCTGGCAGTGTTTCTTCCACAAGTGGTCGGACACTTCTGTAAACGTCTTGGTTTGAACACAAGGTATTTTAAGATCAAGGATTTAAGAGTAACATTTCCAAGAGTACCTGTTTGGCTGGGCCTGCCGACAAAACCCAATCACCCCGTGGAGGAAGGTGCAGAACAAATCCCACCAGGTGCCCTCGCTGGTACCTCCACCACGAAGCAATACAATGCCACACAGAGATGTCAATGTCAGTCTAGAAGTCACGTAGCTTCAGAGAGCAGAGCTCTATATTTGAGTTCATGAGCCATGCTTACAGGGTAGATGTGTGTGTTCAGCACAGGCTCAGGCCATACCAGCTCTCAGCTTCAGGCATGCAGAGAAGTGGCCAGCTTGCACTAGGGAGTGCCACACACTCAGAACATCAGTGTCCAAACGCACCATGTAGCTGAAGTCTTAACACTATAGATAAAACAAAATCTACCAGACGCAAACTCAGAAATACCTGGGGTTAGATTTCATGTACGCTTTGCAGCCACAACCCTTTTTAAGCCTGAAAACATTTGTTCTTACTGTGCCTGGCAAATGTTGTTTCTTTGTTGTTGTTTTCTCTTGTTTTCAGAAATAGCACCATTTTTACCCACAGTGGCTTTCACTTAGTCGTCAGTAATAACCTCCCAAATGCTTTACATCCTGACAGAGAGGGAGGCTTGATGACAGATGAATTCAAAGAAACAGGTATACAAGACACAAACAGTGTAACACTTGGACTCTTTATCAAGAGGGGTGCAAGGAAAGCAAGAACAGGTGCCTAAAGTCCTCTGTGGTTCCCTGAATTTAGCAAGGCAGAGTTTACCGGATTACAGTCCTCTATGCGAAACAACTGCTCTGGTGTGCAGCGTGTCAGCACAGGCTCAAGAATTTCAAAGGGCACACCTCCTACTTCATGCAGTGCTACAAGAGAGGACAGCACTTTTAGTAGCTCATTTGTTTCACTTAGTGTATAACACCACTTACCAACGGTTTAAAAAATAAAAATGCAAATCAATTTCAGCAAATACCTACAGAACACATGTTCTGAAGTCAGGGTATGAAGCTACAAATCAGCAGTTCGTAACTGGCAGTTATATCTGAGGAGGGAGAAAGCATCCTGGAATAGCTATTGCCCCATCTTTACTGATCTGTATCACTCCCCTCTCTGCCTACACAAAGGAATAAATAATTTCTTGATCACTCATTCCAGTTTACGTGAACAAACGCTTTGGAGGGGCAAAAAAACTCAGGAGGATTTTTGGCTTATACTTTATAGGACATTATATTTTAACTATGAATTGGAGCTTTAAAAAAGGTAAGCCTCCAAACAAAACTGTGTTTCAGCATGATCATAAGATCGGTTTTATAAATGCCTTTTGACCAGCTCTGAGTCACTGTCTGTAGGGAGGAACACTACCTTCTAGTAGGCCAGCATGGAAGAAACAAAGAAATCAAATAGTCTTTCAGTACAGCCTGCTACAAAGCCCTTGAAGTACTCACAATCGATATTATTTTGAAGCACACGGATGCACTGCTCATACAGTGTAAGCATCTTTGAAAGATGGGCTTGTTTGGAGCCGGAGTAAACTTGCATTTTAGAGTTCTGTCTCCGTCCCGTGAACTGAACTGATTCGCTGACTTGCTGGGGTGCTTCCACAACAGGCACTAGGGAAATCAAACAAAACATCAGGCAGGGTTTCTTTGCCTCCTGACATTTTACAGGGCTTTAAACATTCAGAGGAACATGCCTGGCAGGACAAACATATTCTTGCTTCTTGAAATATAACGTTATATAATGTTGTTCTGCTAGAGTTTGATCCCTTACAGGTACTCTGTTACAGAGGTCCCCTCAAACATCCAAGAGGAATACAGCAAGTACATTGCAAGTGTAAAGCAAAACATTAAATTAATCTACACGTACCCATAGCAGCCTTACATTAATTAGCTCAGGTCTACGCAAGTTGGATCCACAGCTAGACTGGGCCCTGAGCCTTCCTTCCCCTTGCAACAGGGATGCTCAGATCTACATGAGCTGTACTGAGATCTAGATACCCTCAGTCACCAGGCCACCAAATGCTGCTGTCATTACAGGGTTATCCTAGGGAAATTGCAATAGCAATGATGTCTCAAGCCTACAGAGATGTGAAACTACTGAAACCTCACAGGAGCTGCAAGGGAAAACCACTGGCACTTTGTGCCACCTATGAATAGGAATGCAAGCAAGTTTCTAGGCTGAAGCTACAGCTGGTGACAATTTCTACTCCAGTTACATAAGGCATAGACAGGAATAAAGATAAGTGGAGCCCAGAGAACGACTACAGGATCTACACCTCCTCTACATCTGTGGTAACCTTTTACAGCACTTCTTTACTTGCAAGCTGTAAGAGGGAAACCTTTATATCTCTTTTCAGATTTAAAATTATTTCTACAAAGGAGCAAGTGAAGACATTTATTTGCCACAGACAGATGAGTTACTATAGTTTATTAAGAAATGGGATGAAGACTACCCTAGACAGAGCTGTAAAAACATGCACAGCTTCACATTTACCAGCCTCACGTGCTACTTACCCTTAAAGTCAGCAGCATAGGGGAGAGATGAGATTAAAATGCCTGGCAGAGATTTAGGCAGTGGAGTACTAAGAAGATCTTGAAGGGACGCCACCTTGGTCTGCGCACAGTCAAGGAAATATTGCTTCATTGTTAAAAATTCAGATTTACTAAGGTTTAAATTAAACTACAAAATAAATTATGCAAGCCCAAAAATTACCTAGGATAACCAAAACTACTGCATTTCTGAACTAGGATTTACTCCCATATTTCAGCATATTCCTTCATCTTCTACATGCCAGTACTACATCACAAAAGGAACTTAGTGGGGTATCTGCAATCAGTGCATAATAAGGGATTAAAGGAAGGAGCAGATGTGTTCAGCTAACAGGCTTTCAGATAAATCACTGTTGAGGTTAGAGGCATGCAGCAAACGAAACAAAACTGCAAGATGACAAAAAACAGAGTTAGATGTTTAAAGGCAAGCTAAATGTCATCCTGAAAGACAAGAAACAGCTTCATACCTGGTTCTACCTCATCTCCTGCATCGTGCTGGATAAGCAATACAGTCTTCCAGATATCCCCTTAAAAAGTGACTTAAAGATTCCAGGAGCCTGGTAAGTGTTCCTGCAAATGCTCAGCATTGCATACAGTATCTAAATTAAGTCTTGGGTGTCTTCCAGTCATAAGCCAGGCACTTATAACATAAAACCTGCATCTCCCTAAACTTCATTTTGGTATCTGAAAGACCTTTTTGCAACTTGAACAGCCAACATTTTCCTCTCCATTTCACCAAGATTTCCCTCAGTTCCTTAGTACCTAGATGCTGCTGTCATGCACAAGCCCCTCTGTTAATATTCCTCTGTTTGGGATAGAAGACATTCCTATCGCAGATCTTGCACAATAAATAAAGCCCGGAGCTTTCACGTCACAGCAAAGATAAGAGACTTGAAGAGACCTCTAATTCCCTGTGTACAAAGGGCTTCATTTAAAGAGTCTAATTAGTAAGCATGTTTAGCTCTACCTCAGCTCAAAGGAGCTACTTAAGCTTTCTGCCACTTCAAGGGACTAGGATATTTCACTTTAACAATTCATATAAGCTACCCTTACATGCAATAATGTGGTTTACTTCAATGCACTGAAAGAAGAGTCTGTTCATTTCCACTACAGACCGTAATAGTACAGAACCACAGCTTCCAACAAAACAGCTGTGCTATGCGAGCATCTGCTAAAGTCAGAAAACAAGCTGGTCAAGAATGAAGTTACGGGTAAAAAGTCAATTAGCTGATACCAATCAAAGACCACTGCTGCATAGGAAATTATCATAAAAACCGTAAGAAACTGATTGTAAACTGTCAGTATGTAGTAAATAACCTTTTTTGCCCCAATTAAAGTTATTTGCCATTGCCATGCAGCCTATGTCAAAGCCACACATTTGTTGCTTAAAATAAGCACAGATTAATTTTGCTGGCAGTAAGAGACCAGAACACTCCTTTGCCTACAGTTTATTTGCTATTATTCCAAGCATGCAGTGGCTTACCTTTTTACTGGGCGTTTCTGATTGATCATCCTCACAGTTCTGGATCTTCTCTTCTCCCTCATCTGCGTGAGGAAGTTTTGTAGTCTTCTGTGGTACTGAGCTACTCTTCTGTTCGCTGCACTTCTTTGGACGTTCACCTGTAGAGCAAGCTTTCCTCTTTCTTTTTTTTGTAACCTGATCATAATTAAGGTAAGATTCAAAAGACATAGTAGGGGGCTCAAATTCCTCATCGCTAGGTAATTTAGCTTTGCTTCCTGTGACAGGTTTTTGTTTTGGTTTCTTCACATGCTTAGGATCTTCCTGTTTGGGAGCATCCTTACCAGACCTTTCCTTCGTGGGGGATATGTCCTTACTGGCCACACAGGAACGCCTCTTTTCTGAGCCTTCCTTGCTGTCCTTGGAGGCTCTCTCTTTCAAGTGTCCTTCTTTAGCTTGAGGATCAGTACCCTGGGAGCCACGTTTAGAACTACTGCTGCTACATTCTTTATTATCACGTTCTTTTTGAGACTCAGAACCTGTATTTCGGTGCTTTTTTTCCCTATGTGTATGCTGCTTATTCAACTTCTTAGAAATGGGAGAGCTATTGGAACTTTTGGAGGCCAATACAGATGCTTTGGGCTTCTCTGAAGGCTTAGTTTCTTTGGAAACAGAAGATTTTGTCTCATCTTTTTCTTTTTCAGCATTTTTTCTTCCTCTGTGATCACTGCAACACAAAGGAAAAAAATACATCCCACACTACATCTGATGCTACATTCTTGAAGAATCAATCTTTTTATTTACGTTAGTGAAACCAGAAGCTTTAAATCACACCACGTGGCATAATTCTTACAGGACCCAGAACGGCACTCTAATTTTGCTTCCACATCAGCACAGAATCTGAGGGAAGTCGCTCTTGGTCCAGCACCACTAACTACTGCAACAAGAAATTGAGAGCAACACAAATGGAGAGTAGGGACATAAGCATCAGTAAGAAAAACATGTTTGACATAGTGCTATTTGTTCAAAATGTTTTAGATACCACTGCTTTTATACAAGTTTCCTTGCATGTTTTATAATACAGAGATGGTACTTGAAATAACTAGGAGGCAGAATTTAAAACATGTTCTGTGGTTGGTAAGAGTACAAAACACCAGCCTGGATACTCTGTTATTACGCATGTGCTCTGGTATGCCACTTCCCTGTTGTGGGAACAGCTTCAAATTTAACATGCACTGCTTAGTCAATCTGAAGCTTCAGCTTTCTCAGACCAACTTCTCCCACTGTCAAGAGGGCTGCAAAACACCTAGAGCACAGTCAGCCGGCTGATGGCAGTGGAGGCTGACTCCTGAGAAGGAATCACATCTCTTCGAGTGTACCTGCTCCAACACACAAAACCCTTTTCAGTCTGCAGAAATACCGTAGGGAAGTCCTGTACACAACCAAATCACTGAAGAGATGCTTCATTTAACAACAGCCACATTGCTGAGAAAGAGAAAAAAAAAAAAAGCAAACTTCCTATTTCTCTAGAGGGGAGGAGAGCACTGCCCATCACTGGCTTAGTGCTGCTCACATCGGCTGGTACCTAAGAACCGGTGCTGGTCAAAAACGCAGGTGAAGTCTGAGTGCTGGCTGGCTAATTGACCAACCGATTGCTTTGATCTGTCTCCTAGTAATTTATAAAAGACTCATTCCTACCATTCATCTATATTTCATAACACATTTGTCATTCCAAGTATTATTCTAATATTTCCAAGTTGTATTTTATTAAGTTATGCTACACCACAATTAATCCTGTAGAAAGAGTCCATACCTACCTTTTATTTTCTGGAGGAATAAGCTTTTTCCATCGCTTCACCAGGGATTTAGCTACATTCCCAGCAGTGGCATGTTTCCTAAAGCTGTTCACTGTTTTGCCTATGCCAGTTTCCTGTTGAAAAGGGTGCAAGAAAGATGGGCGGAATAAATCACAACTAACATCCCAAGAAAAGCCTTCCCTAAAACTGCTACAAGCAGCATTAGCATAGCAGACTGAGCAGTCTTACAGCAGCTAAAGAAGTAAACACACTTCTCACCCTACAAACAGAACTGAAAGAAAATCATATAATTATAACCAAATGCTGGGAACAAAGTGCAGCCTGAATTCATAAAAGAAGCTACTTTTCCCCATTAAATGTATGTAATCCAGAAACCTCACTTGGCTTGAATGCTTATACCTACAGAATGCATACTGCTAAAGTGAATTAATCAATTTTACATATATATATATATAAGTATATTTATATATACTAATATATAATATATATTTATACAGGTACAGTTTAGCATGTTAAAGAGCACAAATGATCAGTGTATTGCAATCTAAAAGCCTCAACACAAAGTACCATGGTGCAGAGGTGCCAGGTGAACAGAGTTCATGTGACTAAACTCAAGTCTCAGCCACAGAAAAAAATCCCCTGATGTTTAAGACGCCACGTTCATCGTTCTGTTCACCCACCATACAATTTATTTTCACATTATCATTGTGTCTTCAAATCTTGTTCTGATTTCTACATTGTAGAAGTAGAACTGCCCTGCAGACTTTGTGGGTATATAAATATCACAGGTGATTTTTAATCCTGTTATTAGTATCTCCAATTCATCAACCCCCACTTTTAAGATACATTTTTGTGTGCAAACCCTGGAATTTGCGAAGCCAACAGCAACCCATTAATGCTCTCACTAGCCAGTGAAATTATACTCCTGTGAAGTCTGAGTAAGAACTATGCATGTACTACTCCTCCGGGCTCAGCTCAGGCCTTAGAAGGGAATTCCTTAAAGCCTCAGAAAAATAATTTTGCTTTAAAGAGATTCAGTTTCCGTATCATTCAGGAGCACTCGTTTGGAGGTTCAGTGTATTGCAATACATGCGAGAAAACTGGTGGGAGGATTTCCTAAAGCTATCCATGTGAGAAATTTATGTTCCTAGAAGTGCTTTAAAATATGCAGAAACCTCAATTTTAAGACATCTCTTCCCTCTGTCTCACTTGAAGACTTCCATCATAGTCTGTCACATTGTAGCATGCAAGTATGCTGAGAACATCAATTATCTGAGGAAGCCCTTTGTCATTTTTAACAGCTCAGATGAGATTACTTCATTTCTCAATAAAAATATTGGTGGATTATAGTAGAGGCCCATCTGTTTTTAGGCAGGCAAGTGCCTTTGCCCAAATAAGCTGGCCAAATATTCCAATTACCATATTTTTCTCTTGCTCTGCAAAGAACTATCTCAAAAAAAAAAAATCCTTCCTCCCAAAACATAGATACATTATTCACAGTAACCAGAAGCTTCCCAAACCACTGAGAATCCCCAATATAAAGCTTTATAGGGTGGACCTTGGCAAAGGATACAAGTCACAGGTATTCTTACTCTGTAACTTGGGATGGCTGCTCTTTAGATGCAAGAAACTCACCTCGACCAGCTAATAAGAGACAGAAGATTTAGACAACTGGCCCAAAGAACAGATCACCCATATTTGGCGTATCTTAAGCAGTGATTGAAAGCAGATTTAGTAAGTCTTCCCTATATGCTCAGATCACTGCTCACCACTAACACTTGTCACAATGCTGAATTTGTTCGGTTTTAAGCCCAGCTTCTTTTTGGAGAAGGCTCCATGGCTTCTTATACAGAGCTTTAAATGAACCATGCTAAGAGTCCTAATTCCCAAATGCAGCAATGCCCACTGCTTCTGGGATTGCAGACCCCATAAACTCTTTTCATGATGAACGACTGTGTAATGTGTTATTGGTCACTTACCACTAGAATATCCAGTGATATATCCAGATTCTTTAGTACCTCAAGTGCTTTTAGAATCTGAAAGGAAACATTAGATTATTTTTTTTTTATTAGATAACATATGCATAAGTACTATCCTGCTTTTCTCATCTTCATTCCCATGTTTATCCAAAAAAACTTAACAGGAAGAAGATCCAGTAACTCCAGGAAAACATAAGCACTCCTTCACTGTAGGTAAGGGCTATGCTTGAAATTTGTTCTGCAATACCCCTAGCAGCAGTAACAGCAGAAACCCCAACAGGTTTGACTTTACTGCTACAGAGATTACATTAAAGATTAATAAATCAATAGTGCAGCAGCTCAGGCTACAACTATGCCCTCACGCCTGGTGTACCAGTGACCCATCAGCACAGAACTGATTCAAAGGCTGCATTAAGCAGAAGCAGCACCCTGAAAGAAAAAAAAAAAAAAAAAATGGAAAAAAAGGCAAGTTCTCCCAGCCAGCAGCACCACTAAAGGCCAAGAATTAAAAAAAAAAAAAAAAAAAAAAAAGCCCATGGGAGTTCAGCTTGCGAAGACGGTCAGGTTTTGAAGCCTTCACTGCTATTCGTACAAGACCAAGTCAAGCTAGAACAGCTGCTTTGTTTCACATGGGCAAAGTATATACATCTTTGATTAAAACGTTGAGTTTCGTAGAAACAGAAGAGTATTTTTCAAATATGAAACTGCTTATCTTACTCTGAGAGGTTTTTAATAATACAAAAGTTTCATTTATAAATAGAGTATGAACTTATTTGGCAACGTGTGTGCAGCACACCTGAGTCTTGCAGTTGACTACACACAGTTTGCATCATCTTTGACAGATTTCCATAAAGTTGAAGTTGTTATCTAGATGACAGAATTAATGTGCAACTAAAGTAACAGCATTTCATAGGGTGCTAACAAAGCCTGGAATACTTCTCTAGGTTTTTTCAGACCATTGCCACTTCTAAATGCAATGGCAGAAACCTGCTGGGATGCAGGATGACAACCCCAAAACTTCTTAAACTTTAGTAATTGCTTTAATAATAGTCACTTCTCTCTACAACAGTTCTAAATTTCACTGTTCCTATAATATATTAAAAATTGAATCCTCCTAAACCTCACTGTGCACAGTGGGCTCCATCCATACGCCTGGCATGTGGTTCTCCTGCAAGGCTCTACCCTGCAGTAGTAGCTTAACATTTAACTTTTTCCAGACACTTCACAGGCATAGACTACACATTTTATGAGATGAAGACTTTTCCAAAATAATCCCCATCAGGAAGAAAATATGCTGCAAAGATGCTTACAGAGTTAAGTGAAGAAAAAAAAAAAAAAAGGTAATTTAATAAGACCACGATGTTAATCACAAACATTAGAAACTAAGTTATCAGTGTCAATTTAGTTAATTTTCTTTTTAAAGTGATATTCCCAAGCATTTAACTAATTTTGCCATCAGAAGGGAGCAGCCCATTGCTAAGTGGATGGGCTTTGCTTTATAGGATGACTGGCTACTCAAGCAGTATAAACCAACTGGGAATAAATCCCACAGCCCAGACACAATCCTGCACTAGGAACGCTAAAAGGTGCTTTCATCAAGCTACAGAAACAACGAAGATTTGATGGGTTTTGGACCGAGTTAGTTCATGAAGCTGAGTTCATTACAGAATCATTAAAGAATCTTTAAAACCGGTTCAGGAAGCAAGCAATTACTATTCATGCAACTTCAAAACAGGGGTAAATTACAAAAGTACCTGGATGACAAGCATGTCTGAGAGCAGTCAACACGTTTTAATGTAAGACAAAACTTTCAATTTTTAAACCAAAGCCCACACTGTTCATTTTGCTTTCCTGAAATGTGTATCCCATTTGGCGAATTAAGACACACAGAAGGGTTTCGTTAAGTAGAAAGCATTGACCAAACACTAACAATCCTGTTAAGAGCAGTGATCCCCATCTCCCAAAAGCTGGGAACAGCTCAGCCTGCAGTGAGCCCAGCAGTCATATCTGCTCGGGGCTGCCAAAGGAGAGGCAGCCCCGTGTGCCTTTGTGTGCAGCATAACCAGAGCCTCATGGACGAGCAACACACACACCAGCCTGAGACACAAGCACGGGGCCAACAGGAGCACGAGCAAGATAAGATGAAGGGAAGGAGGGAAAGCAGAGGGTCCAAGCAATAAAAAACAGGCAAGAAGCATGCGAGCAAGCAGCTCTCCAGAGTGAAAGCTGAAAGCAGAGGGATGATAAGAAGAGGCCCAGCTGCGCCAGGTCTGTCTCTTCCCATTGCACCAGCGCTGCTCCAGCCTCTCCGCGTGAGCCTTGGGGTCACCTCACCTCTTGAAGCTGGGCCCTCACTCAGGCAGGATGGGACCCAGCTGGGTGGCGAAACCCCACCAGGTCTCTATCTCCTGGCTGAGCTTGCCACCTCATCTGAAAGAGCGTCAGGTCTTTGAAGACAGCACTTTGGAGAAGCCTAACACAACCCCAAGTGAGTTGCCCTATGCTCAGTTGCCCTCACTTTAAAAAATTTCCTTTAAGAAGCCTGATTTTGTTTTCAGCCACTGAATCTCATCCTCTCTTCCTGCTAACTAAAGGTAGCCCTCTCTCAAACATCTTATACAAACCACAAATATAAACACTAATCACACATTACCTCTTGGTCTTTTTTTTAGGGCCAACCAGACAGAGTTCTTGAGCCTTGGTAAGTTAGGCTGGCCAGAGCTGTGACCATTCTGCTGCTGTCCTAAAGTCTCCCCAGCTCAGCAGCCCTGTTTTTAAGAACAGCCCCCAGAACAGGACGTAATATTCCTGTAATTGCCCCTCTAATACTACATCGCTGTAATAACACGACCCTGCTAAGCTACCCGGAGATAGCAGTTATTCCATAAGCCACTGCCTTGTACTGCAATTTCATGCTCAACTGGTAATACACCAGAGCTCCAAATCATTTTCTGAGTCAATGCTTTCCAAAATACAGGCTCCTATCCTGAGTGACCTATATTCACAGCTCCTAGCTGTGACTTTCCACTGAGCCATGCTAAAACGCAGGCCGCTCAAATGAATGTAGCCTAGCACATGACCAAGGCTGCCTTTTCTAGAAGAGTCCTCTTCATCTGACACAAATTACTTTGGTACTTGTGACATCTCCCCGCACTGCTTGCTGTCTTCTAAATTAAGAAAGATTTGAGTAACGCCATGTCAAGATGAGATGGATAATTGCTCCCCCTCCTATTCCCACCCTCCCAAAAAATAAACAGCATTGCTTTCTGATAAGGATTGTCACTTATTTTTGCTGACTGTAATTTCAATCCATTTTGTAGATGTTACATCAGGCCTGTAACATTGCTGCTGTAATCAGCATCATACAGCAGCAAGTCAAATTCTTTAAGAGACTTATGTATATTTATGACAGCTAGTGTCAGCTGAATATAATTTAAGATAAATTCAAGCTAAATTTAGCAGTACATATCTACATGAAGTCTCATTGAGTGCACTGGCTCATGGTACCATCCTTTATTTCTACACCAGTTACATCTTACATGCAAGATTTTGCAGCTGCTCATTGCAGTGCTTCATGGACGTCAGGGACAGGGCTCATTTCATTTCATGGTAACCTTTTTTCCAGAGCTGCTGAACTTCTCTAGTATCTTGAGGATCATTCAACTTCTAAATCATCAGTTCTGTTAATTTTGGTCAGTTCTCTGAAAACTCACCAGGTAGCTATTAAACCCTGCATATTAAGAAGCTTTTGACATGAACAACTGATGTTCTGTATCTTTTCCCTGGTGCCTATCAAAGTATCCAGTGGTTATTAAAAAATGTGACACGGTTAGACAAAGATTACTCTCAACTATGGAGCAGAAATATTTGACAATACAAATATTTACCGACATATGTATCAGTAATAAGGATTTATTATTCTTTCTGCACATCCTTGAAGCCTCTCTTTGCCTTTAAACATAACTACACGTTTTCCACTACTAGGTTTATCTTGTATTAGTAGTGCATTTCATGACTGCCAATTTCCAGTTATCAGTTTCTCCCTTCCCTTCTGCTCCTTACCCGTAACTGTTTCTTTTTCACTAGACACAGCTTTACCAGGAACAGTGGAAGTGCTACAGCACCACCATTAGACCTACTTTGTGCAGCACCTGCTTTCGGTCATGTTACAAACACAGGGCATCTCCTTCTTTAACAGAGGCAAACCTGCCAGGGCTAGACATGTTTTTCTCCTTAGATTAATGTGTTTTTAAGTTTAATGCTTTGGGAGCACTTAGAAACAATTCCAGAGTTTTTGTTGTTGTTGTTGTTTTCTTTTCCTTTTCAATCTCCTGTTCATAAGAGCATATAATCACCAAACACTAGTATTAAAAGATTAAAAAGAGTAAAAGAGATAGAGTAAAATTTGACCACTTCTAGAACACCAGAAATTTCAGTTTTGCTGAACTGCAAGGTATAGTACCTCAAGAAGTACCTGCACTCTGATATTTGCATTTTGGACAGATAAAGCCTACAGCACCAGCAGATGAAGATAAACCAAACCATTGGGTAAGAAAATCAGTATTTCTTGCACATGTATGAGCACGCAATTAGAAAGCACACAATAGATATGAATGTAGTAATGATGCTTTTTAAGTTTTATTAACCACAAAGTACAAAGCAAGTTAAATGACATACCAGCCCTCTGTTTGCAAACGCTTCCACAAACTTGCATCAAGCTATAACACTTCAGGAAATCTACCACACTAAGCATGTTCTGTACTTTCAAGATGAATTCAGCCCCTCAAAAAAAAAAAAAAAAAAAAAAAAAAAAAAAGCCCTTTAAAATATATTTTTGTTGGTCAAACACGATTCATTGGCAAACAGCAAGCCAAATTTGGGGCTTACTTCTTTGCTGGAGCAAAGTGCCTTCCCTCCTGCTCATCTCCTTCCCTGCACCTTGGTACCTTTGAGTGCCAGGCTCAGCCTCCTTCAGCTGCTCTGCCCCACCTCACAGAGGATGTTTTCTTGTTTCAAGCCCTCCTTATCTACTTCTTGCAGCTCCTGAGGAGAGCCCTGCTCTCCTACAGGTTGCTTCATTTATTTCAGATAAGCATAGCTTTGTTCTTCCCCTACCAGGAATCAAAGCGCAGGATGTGGTGCCCTTCCTGCACCACCACAGCACAGTAGGAACACCTTTTCCACTATAAAAACCTCTTATGGAGCTTAGCACCTCAGCTTTGAGCTTCTGGCCAGGACAAGACACGTAACACCCAGCACCATCTATCAGCTGGTTTGGTGCACAGTGTTATATCTAGCTTTAAGACATAGATTTTTGTCACCTCATCCTACACACGACCCCTCAGGCTCCTATTTAAAACACCACGCAGCCGGAGCCTGGCCATACACCGACCCGAGGGTGCCAAAGGGACCTCGGGGTGCCAAAGGGACCTGATGCGCATCGCCCCCTCCAGGCGCCCCAAGCCGGGGACGAAGCCCCGAGGCCACCCGGGGGGACCCCCACCGGCCCCCCGCTACCTCCGCGGGCTGCTCCGCGCGGCCCAGGCGCTCCTTCAGCTCCAGCACCCTCTTCGTCCCCATCTTCCTCCTCCTCCCCGCCGCGCTCGCCCCCTCCGCCATGGCCCGCAGCCCCTGGCGGCCGCCATCTCGGGCCTCTTGTAGCGGCGCCATGGGCGGCGTCCCGCGGCCGGCTGCCTGCCGTGCCCGCCCCGGCCAAGGGGGGGAGCGCCGCCGCCATCCCACAGAATCACAGAATCACAGAATTTCTAGGTTGGAAGAGACCTCAAGATCATCGAGTCCAACCTCTGACCTAACACCAACAGTCCTCACTAAACCATATCCCTAAGCTCTACATCTAAACGTCTTTTGAAGACTTCCAGGGATGGTGACTCCACCACTTCCCTGGGCAGCCTGTTCCGCTCCTCCATGTCCTCAGCCACCTGCCAGTGCCATGCCCGGCCCTCGGCTGTCCCAGGCTCAGCCCTGCAGGGTCTCATCCTCATGTCCTGCAGGGTCTCATCCCCCAGTCCTGCTGCTGAGGGCACAGCCGACAGCGTCCTGCCCAAAGCACCTTAGCCCCGCGGGGCTGGCTGCAGGGATGGTGGTTGTGGTCAGCCTGGTTGTACTATTACCAGCACATATTTGTTATCAGCATGTAATATGGACTAGCTGCTTTGCTTTGTGCTGCCTCTCTCAGTTTTGCCTTTATTTAAGCACACACTATGGTTGGTACTTAGCAAACAGTTATAATTCAAGTATGCCTGCGGCTCTGAGCCAGAGGGGGAGCAGCAGCCTGCCCCATGACCTGCAGTGGCCCTTCCACATGTCCTTCAAGAGCACCAAGGCGAATACATCAGTATAGACCCTGCAGGGGTGCGTGGTCATAGCCCCCACTGCACCAGCTGATGGATGGGATGCAGCATCAGGAGCGGTTGCACTTGCCCACACAAACTTCTTTGGTCACCTGCAGGTCATTTCAAGGCCTGTGGTGTGTCTGTTGTGCGTGCATGGCCGTAAGGCTGCTTAGTGGCTGGTAAGTATGGTGGCAAACACAGCAGTAGCAAGGCCAAGTGCATGAAGACGTGCCGAGCACCAGCAGGCACACTGCTGCAGGCTTACCCCCAGGTAAAGGTAGCAGCCAGGCTGGAGAAAGCATCTTACTTGTCTTTCTGTCTTTCCTTATTTATAGCCTGATAGTTAATGCAACTGTTGCAGAAGGACAAAGCACTTTTGGGCCCTTCAGCTTGAAGCATGGCTTCTTTGAAAGGTACATAAGGTCACAAAAAACATTGGGCAGGGAATCTGTCTTTGCCTACTGCGAAAGTGAAATGGGATCTCTGGCACAGAGCTTACTGGGGCTCAGCACCTGAAAGACTTCAGGCTGAATGAGTCTTTCTGAAAAAAAATCTATGGGTTTGCCATATTTCCTCAGGGGTTATTGTAGATATAATTAGAATAGTTAGATATGTAGGTCACTTTTCACTCCTTAAAACAGCATTTGGGAGAAGTGTTAAAAAAAGTGTATCCAGTCTAAATTACAGGGGAATTTTAAGTAGGCAAAAGAGGATTACCTTTATGTCTGGTATTTGCACATTACATTGCAAAATAGATCTCATTACAGCTTGGCACAGCATGTAGCAAATTTATCAGTAGAGAAACCAAAACAGGCAGTAGTGCAAAGCAGTAGGTAGAGCACTCAGGTTGCATATGGAAAAAACAGATCCAGTTTCCTTTCGTGGACTGGCTCTCCAGTTCACATGCTCATCTTTTATTTTGCAGAAATAATTAGCTCATCTTCATTATGCACACAGGCTTCATTAACCCTGCCCTAGAATCAGCCACCCACAACTGGTTGCTCTTTCTCTCTCTCTCTTTTTTTTTTTTTTTTTCTTTCCCCTAATAATATTCAATTACTTACACAAAGTGGAATTTATGCAGAAGAAAATCTTGAAAGGGATTCAACCCACAGCAGCATTATGGTTAAAGTCATCTTTGAGTAGGGAAGTTGAGACTGAGGTCATCACATGAGTGATGTGATTGAAGCTGGGTTTCCCGTACATTGTATGAAAGCCTTAATTATCAAGCCACTGGGTTTTGTGGAATGAAGAAAATCTCCTTCCTGTGTTTCTGCACAAGTCTTCTGAAAGATCACAATTTCATGCCAGTGAAGAATAAAATATGCAAGATCTCAAAAACATTAATAGAACAAGAAATATGTGCCGTACCTAGGTGTAACTGCAAAATTTCTCATATTACTTGTCATAACTTTTGCAGAGAGAAGTGACAAGCCTACTTGGTCCTTCAGAAAGCCCTCCAATACCAACTGTCATGAAGATTAATTTGACTGCAAAGAGGAGCTCCTGCAATGAAGAAGTGGGGGTGCTGCACACAGCTGCTCTGATAATTGCTCCGTGTTATTACCTGCCAGAGAACAGTGGTGTGCTGCCAGCTGTGCTCTGAGCAAACTGTGAAATCAGGAAGAGAAGTTGGCTTTGTCTGAGCTAAGAACAGCTAGGGAGGAGTACCAAGGGCTGAACTGATGTGAGAGATTTGGCTGAGCAAAATTAGGCAATGATCAAGTATTATGGGAGCTCTGTGTGGTCAGGGAGATCTGACTGACCACATAGGTGTTGGTTGGTTTACTGCACACGGTTTCTCTGAGCCACCATCCATGAAATCAAAGCCTGGTTATTTGATTTTACACTATGATGGTTTATCCTATGTTTATTCTGTTGCTCACCAAGAAAATGTATGTTTTTTTTTTCCATCATTTTATTAAAAAGACTGCAGTTGCAACAGAAATTCAATATGCTTTCATGGTATCTCCAGAAAAATACCTACAGAAGGAGCTTCAGCCTTCCTGGAGGCATTATGATTACTCAATACGTTCAGATTAGTGCATTTAAAGATATCTTTCGTAACTAATTATCATCATTAAATAAATATGGGCTTTTGAGGTGCATAATACTTGGCTGAGTATACACAAATGGTTCAGAGCCAAGAAAGCAATAATAATCTAAAGCTCAGCCATAATTTTATTAACAGTTTTAGCTGAACAAGGCAGGTCTCCATGTAGCCATGGCTGTGGTGCTAGCATTCCACAACCACATTGAGACATGCTGACTTTAGAGAGAAGGCTTTACATTTACCAGAAAGAGTGCAGTACTGATTGCACATGGATTAGAAAGGATATAATTGCTGTAATTGCCTTGAGGCCTATGTTTGCTGATAAAAGATCCTTCCCTATTGCTAATTCTGGCTCATGTGCGTGGAGCAGATAATAACAATTATTCTTGTTTATTGGGCTATGAGCAAATCTCTTGAAACGTTTGTGTGTTTTTTCCCTAAAGAATGTTAAAACATTACTACATGATGTGCTACTGCTGCATGGATTGATTGTATTGTCCTTAGTCACTCACACAGCTGATTATAGAGCAATTATTTTTTTTTTTTCAATTTTTATGAGATTTACTTACAGCTAAAAAGACACATATTGACAAGCTTAAAATATTGCCAAATATGTACTATCCTTTCTTTTAAATGAGAAAATAATTTATAACTGGTTTGCAGGGACTTAGTTTTCCTGTAGACAATCAAAATATTTTCATAGTAATTAATTTCTATCCCATTGGAAAGGAAATAATCAGCAAGATAGCAGGTTATTTGAAGGAAATAATATTAAGAACATCTGTTTAACTATAACAGCATTTAAAAAAAAATATTAAAGTCTGTATTTTAAAAACACATCACAATGCCAGGCTAATTCTACTACAGTTTACCTTTGAAAAGACTTTTCTGTATGCAAATTAATGGAAAATGAGAATGACAGGTTCAGCTTGCATGCTGTGTAACAGCTACATGTGGTATCAGCTGTCTTCTGATCTTGAAGACCAAGTAACTAAAGTTTCATGTTTTTGCCCTAAGGTACAACCAGAGTTTCAGAAATATGGGAGATGTTTGACTGTGTCAGCATTAATACACTGAAATGCTGAGGCATGCCTCATGTGATGTTTATCTCCATACAGCATAGCACAGCTCAAAGCGTGTTCAGTGTTTTCCGGAAATTAGATATTAGTTTTGTATTCTCGGTGGAGATATTTCCTTTTTGTAGTTTGTGTGCTTTTTTTTTCCACAGTGAATCATATAAGGATGCTGAAAATACATTTTTAGATTCTGAATAAGACTTAAATTTATTTTACAACTTGCAAATCTGTTTTTATGATATGGTATTGAAATTAGAGTGATCTTTTATTTTCTACAGCTCATGATAGCATATTCATTCTGGAGCATAAATGCCCCTTTTAACAAACTAACTAACTGAAAAATAACAAAGAAGATATTCCATCTCCGAAAAATGTTGGCTTTTTAGGGCATCATTTAATTATACAAATTGATAAAAGTCTGGCTATGAGTTATTAGAAGTAGTTTGACAACATCCCAGTCCCCATTCTGTTTTTTCATTTTTGTCATGTAACTGCACTAGCGCAGCAATGCCCTTTTGTTCGAAATGACAAGTGTTATTTTGCAGCAGTTGCTGTAAAAACCCATCCAAGCCAGAAGGTAATCTAATAAATCTATCGGATTAAGCATTACATGAAGTCCAGCCAAGAGAAAATTTTCCCTTTCTGTGCTGTCCGTATCCCCCGATGTCCCTCCTTCCCCATGCAGTCACTCCCACCCCCTTTGCCACCCCCATGGTATGAAATTCCTCTGGGATGTGGAGACTTGGCTTTAAATTTTTCCTGGGGATTTCTGGCCAGAGGTCTTGAAGGTAAAACACCCCGGTGTATTTTCTAACCCATAAGTCGGGATACCTTCTTGAGAGACAGATCAGAGCTCAGATCTCTGTGCAAATGTATCAGGGGTTGTGAGCCAGTATCCCTGAAAGCCGAGACAAGCCTATATGGAAGCAGTGAGCTAACACCGAGAAATAGGACATGACTGTGAATCCCTGTCAGTCAGTTTCCTTCCCTCTGCCCAGGGGTAAGCACCTCAGTCCAAATAAAAGTGGAACTGTAATGCCAGCTTCTCCGTGGTGTTACCTGCTGGTTGTTTTAGACGTGTCCCCCAGAGCATACTGGATTTCGCACATCCCACCCTTAGACTTCACCCCCAGCATCGCTCAGGGAGCCCAGGCACCCAAAGATGGGGAATCTGATGGTCCACCCTACGCTTACTCAGCACAATCATTGCCTGCTGTGGGTCCACCATTTTCATCTGCCTCCTTTTCTGCCTCGTACCGGAGCATTTCAAGTACCCAGGTTTGTTCCCCTTGTTTCTGAAGGCCAGGCAGGCCAGGGAAACTTAACTCCTGTGGCTGGGCAGAGGCAGAGAGCAAGGCACCGAGAGGAGGGGTCATTTTAAAGAGCACCGAGCGCAGGCTCCGGTCTCTTTTGCTCACTGTGACAGAAAAGGGTCACACTAGAAACCACAAGCTGGGACATACCAAGTGGCCTCCGATCTTTCTCTCTTCTTTTTACCACTTTTCGTCTCTTTGTCTTCTCATTTTTCTTAGGAAGAGGCATTTTCACTGACAGCTTCTTGGACAGCTCTGGGACAACATTTTTCTGAGGAGGGTAAGGGGTTTTTAACGCCTCACTTTGCTAGCATTTAGAAGATAGCATATTAAAGGGGGGAAGGTTGTGTGTTTGAATGCATTGGTTTGGGACCCTCAATCTCTTTTGGAATAAGTTGTGGTAAAGCAAAAGGAAATTAGGGGAAGGCAAACAGCTATAGGAAACCAAACCATCCAGGGATTTCAAAGCTCAGTAGCTTGGATTTGTTACAGGACTGCTTGATTTGTTTCACTGGTTTTGCATTTCCTGACACTTATGCACTTATACACTAAACTAGCTAGTGCAGTTTCTGCTGACAGAAAAGTAGTGCTCAGGAAAAAACTTGGGAAAGTGAACATTTTTTAACAGAGAGCTTCAAATGACACGTATTTAAATGTGCTCCACAATGATTTAGTGAGGCAATAAACATTAAGTGGTGCATGCATTAAAATTTTTAAGTTATGGGTCTCTAAAAATACAAAGAACCACAAATATGACTGCCAAACAAATATGCCCTTGCCAGCTATGAAGTTGTGGCTATTAATTTGAAAAGCTATAACTATGTGGCTGACATACAAAGACATCCAAAAGTTCTGCTTTGCTTTTATTCTGTGTCAGGAATCATACAGTGCAGGGGAGATAACACAATTTTATTGCAAAAAGTTGCGTTAAACAACGAAGTAGACTGAAGCGCCAGATGCACCTCTGACTGAACCTGTCTTAAAATGGCAAGCTGCTAGGAGGTTGCTATTCTCGGAGGTGACTCTGATAGCTCTCAACAGATGCAGCTCTGGGAATGCAGCCGGAGCGGGGGGAGGCGGGGAGCAGCTGACCCCTGTGCTGGCACCCAGACATTCGGGGCCCGCAGCTCACGTCAGCTTGCGCTGACACTGACACTTCCAGCACACATGGCCTTCTCCCTCTGCTGCTCTGCACGCAGTCATCACCCGGCACAAGAAGAAAAAAATCCTGGTACTCACAGGCAGCAACCATTCCTTTCTATAATTAAATTACTGTTTTGTTACGGGCTGCGGGCTTAAGGGAAAATTGATGTGCTGAGATTTCAGATTGAAGTGTGACTGCATTGAAATATGACTTTTTGAAAATTGATCTGAAGTAGTCCAGATTGTTTTATCATAAAGCAGCAATTCTTCATCTTCTGTCTTTCCTGAGCACAAGGATCACAAAGAATTTTAGCTTGTGTACATTCTTTAAAAATCAATTAATATATCAAAGAGAAATGCTACATTTGAATATGTTGCTTGCTGATCTCAGCAATTCTGTTTTAACTCTGTTCTTGCACTTTCCTTCACTATGTGTTTGCATACACATATTTTTTGAAATAGGCCCTTTGAGAATTACTTAAGAGCCATCTCACATCATGTTTGACAAAAACCTGGGTCTTCATTTCAGCAAGAGCTGAACTTGCCTAGAGTTGATAAGTGTGGTTCAAATCCCTCTCTCTAAGATAACTGTATGTGAACAATTATTTCCTTCACACATGAAGAACGCGTTTAAGGTAATACATTCTGCTACAGTTTGCATGACATTTTTTCAGATAAAAGTTAGACATCATCTCTTCTCCCTAAATATCCCCAAAATCCTAAAAGGAAGGTTAAGTTTAAATAGTTTCAGATTACTGACATTGAAAAGCAAGCAAAGGGTCTATGAGCAGAAGGTATTTGCAAATTTGTCATGGGAAACAGAATATCATCATTCTCATAAGTCTGAAGTTGTAAAAAACTGAAGGAATTTGGAGCAGATTCTAAATCTAAAATCAACATAACTATACCCAAAATTCACTTTCTCCTTTATGTTTTATGTTACTCTTTCTGTAAGAATTTCCCCCATTCTTCATATTTCTTGGTCAAACTCTGAATTCACTTACCTGTAAATCTGTATTAGCCCTAGAACAAAGCTGGACCATATTTTTCCTATGCTTCAGATCTAGAGCATGTCTGACTTAAATGCATATTTCCAAAATTTTACACTCTGGCAAACTTGTTTAAGGTTTAGGAAGAGAATTTAACTCTTTGAATGTGATGACAATATGGAAATATTTTTATGATCTTGTTATTAAAAAGAAAGGAATTTTGGAATTACTTGTATTCTTCATAATTTGAGTATCCATTGTTACGAATAAGCAGCCATGTTAAATTTAGGACCATAAAATAGCTTTTAGAGAGGTAGATTATCCCACGAGTTTTATTTTCATGGCATTTATATGTATTGACAAAGGTTAGCTTTGTTGCGTAACCACTCAGATATTAAATTTCACAACTGCAGTGTAGCTCTAAACTTTTTCATTTTATTTTTAGCAAGCTCGTGGCTGTAATATTTCATTGCAGTCATGGCACCTAAGAAGAAGAATGTGAAGAAGAACAAAGTAGATATCAATGAAACGACTATCATTGTGGAAGACGGTCCCCTCAGCAAACTAAATGGCTTGAATGGACTCTTAGAAGGAGGCAATGGTTTAAGCTGCATCTCATCTGAAGTTTCTGACTCATCATATAGCCCAAATCTCTTGGAAGGTCTAAGCAGAATGAGACAAGAAAATTTTCTCTGTGATTTGACGATCAGTACCAAAACCAAATCCTTCAGTGTTCATAAGGTGGTGATGGCTTCAATCAGTGACTACTTTCACAACATCTTGAAGAAAGATCCTTCCACCCAAAGAGTAGACCTCAATGATGTGTCCCCATTGGGTCTAGCTACTGTTATCACCTATGCTTACACTGGAAAACTTACGCTCTCGCTTTATACAATAGGTAGTATTATTTCCACAGCAATTTATCTTCAGATTCACTCCCTTGTAAAGATGTGCTGTGATTTCCTAATCCAAGAAATCAGTGTTGAAAATTGTATGTACATTGCCAATATTGCAGAAACATACGGACTAAAAACGACCAAGGAGGCGGCACACAAATTTATTAGAGACAACTTCATTGAATTTTCAGAAACAGATCAGTTCTTAAAACTTACTTTTGATCAGATTAATGAACTTCTTGCAGATGATGACTTACAGCTTCCTTCTGAAATTGTTGCATTCCAGATTGCAATAAAATGGCTGGAATTTGACCAAAAAAGAGTAAAGTTTGCTGCTGATCTCTTAGGCAACATCCGTTTTGGTACCATCTCGGCTCAAGACCTTGTCAATTATGTTCAAACTGTTCCGAGAATGATGCAAGATGCCGACTGCCATAAGCTCCTGGTGGATGCCATGAACTATCATTTGCTTCCGTATCATCAGAATACACTGCAGTCCAGAAGAACAAGGATTCGTGGAGGTTTCAGAGTGCTAGTTACTGTTGGGGGACGCCCTGCTCTAACAGAGAAGTCTCTTAGCAGAGACATCTTATACAGAGATCCTGAAAAGGGATGGAAGAAGCTTAGTGAGATGCCTGCTAAAAGTTTTAACCAGTGCGTGACGGTGATGGATGGATTTCTCTACGTGGCTGGTGGGGAAGACCAGAACGATGCCAGGAACCAAGCCAAGCATGCAGTCAGCAATTTCTGCAGGTAACTATTTATTTTAAAATGTTTATTTATTTATTTATTTATTCCATATAGTTCAGGGAGAAGACTGAGCTGGGCTGTGATGTGCAATGTGATCAGATCAGGTACCTATAAGGAGGACAGGGTGGAGGAGGTACGGATGCTATTCTGTACTGAAGTTTGAATGAACAGAAAAATGCAATCGAAATATGTAGGAACTTCACCATGGTTACCCATGCACAATGGGAAATGGCCAGACTGAGAAAACTTATTCCAAGTGGAGGAAATAAATAGGAGAATAAACAGGAATTCTAGGAGTTTCTAAGGTAACATTTAAATGCATGAAATCAAGCAGATTTTTTAAATTTCAGGAGCTGATGACGCCTCACAGAAAGTTCTAAAAAATTCTCTGAGTTATTATAATAACGGTGCCTTTCTGTGCACCATTCACCGTATTTTTAACAGCTCTTGTACTGCATTTCATATCCTTTGGCTTTTTTATCTATGATGAGTTTAGAAACTACATCATAGCCTCTTGAAGGCTACATTTCTATTCTCCAAGGTACTCCAAACAATACCTTGCTTACGATTCTTATCAGTCATCATCTAAGAACCGTACTGGTGATAGCAAGGGCAAAAGAGTCCATAGCCTAACATGCAGCAGTCAGATGAATGGTGCTAGTTATCGATTAGTTCAGGCTAAAAGCTGATGGCACGCTGTTGCTTGAAGCAAAGGCTGGAGGTGAGAAAACTCATCGTTTATCTAGTAACAGACCATGTAACAGACTGTGGACAAGCAATGCCAGTATGCAGCCTACCAGTGATTGTTTTTCTGCTCCTGGAAAAGAACATTAAGATAACTTCTCCCAGAGAGGTCCACTAACACACAAAGATAATGAATAAGGAAAATTCTATAGGTCATTTCTTTCGTGTAATCTACTTTGTCAGAAAAATACATCACGTAAAGGAGACGATACTGTTGCTCTCCCAACCTTCTGCCTCGAAGCTGTGCCTCACATTCTCCAGCAAGTTGTGTGCTTGCTGCACACCCAGGTTGTGTGGAGGAGGTGGGGGAATCCTTGTGCTCCACTTGGTGTTCTGCTCCCTCTCCTGCCGTTATCCTTGGCCATGTCAATTCACATCAATTGTCTGTGAACTTGCTTTCAGAGCTACTGATAACAATGCCATATAACAGCTAGCAATTACACTTCACTTTCTCATAGTCTCTTTCTTGTGTGATTCTCTGGTCCCCTCAGCATGCAAAGGGAAAAAATGTATGGGTTTACTAATGCACCTCACCCAACCCCTCGTCCAAAGGAGTTGTTATGTTCTATTTGCTACTCCTAAATTGCTTGTTGAAATGTCAAGGACAGAGAATATTATTTCGCATAGGTTCAGAAACAAAGATATCCTTTCCACATAAATCTTACTTGGTAGGAGTGGCAGGGAAAGATCACTTACCCTTTAGAAAGTACTAAAAATGTGCGAGTATAAATCACCACCTAACACTTTTTAAGGCTGTCTGAGTAAATTTTGTCATCTTTGCTGTAGACATAAATTGCAAACATTTTAAAATTTCTATTGTATGTTAAAATTATTGCTTTCCAATATTCTTATAAGGTTATTGTACAAACTCATATTACAGAAAGGAGACAGAATTACTTTATTGAAATAGTACTAGATGTGAATAGTACAAACACAGTTTTCTCCAATAAAGAACTAAATTTATTTTTAAATTTATCAGGAGTGCCAGTGCCATTCCACTGACTTATGCAAGGCTGAAGAAATAGCTGAACACAATAGTGATTTAGCAATCCTCCGCTGCTGTAGTAGTGGGACAGAATTAGGAGTGTAGAACTAACCATAGCTGCACGTGAGATGGTCACCCTCTGTTTTTAATGCTTTCAGATACGATCCCCGTTTCAACACCTGGATTCACCTGGCAAGCATGAACCAGAAGCGTACCCACTTCAGCCTGAATGTGTTCAATGGCCTCCTTTTCGCAGTGGGTGGTCGCAACTCAGAGGGCTGCCTCTCCTCGGTTGAGTGCTACGTGCCTGCCACTAACCAGTGGCAGATGAAGGCACCCCTGGAGGTGCCCCGCTGCTGCCACGCCAGCGCTGTGGTGGATGGTAGGATCCTGGTCACGGGAGGCTACATTAACAGCGCCTACTCCCGTTCAGTGTGCATGTATGACCCCAGCAATGATAGCTGGCAGGATAAGTCCAGCCTTAGCACCCCACGAGGGTGGCACTGCGCCGTGTCCTTGCTGGAGAGGGTCTATGTCATGGGTGGGTCGCAGCTGGGCGGGCGAGGGGAAAGGGTGGACGTCCTCCCCGTGGAGTGTTACAGCCCTTACACGGGGCAGTGGTGTTACGTGGCGCCCCTTCAAACCGGAGTGAGCACGGCCGGCGCCTCCATGCTGAACGGGAAGATTTACCTGGTGGGGGGCTGGAATGAGATAGAGAAAAAATATAAGAAGTGCATTCAGTGCTATAACCCGGATCTCAATGAGTGGACAGAGGAAGACGAGCTGCCTGAGGCCACTGTGGGAGTATCCTGTTGTACTATATCCATGCCCAACACCAAGACAAGGGAGTCCAGGGCGAGCTCAGTCTCTTCTGTACCAGTCAGTATCTAAACCCTGGTCAGACCAGCAACCGGTAAAAATGTTTACCAGCACAGCAGTTTAATTAACCCTTTAAGTAGCATTTTTGTGTTTATGTGGAAAAAAAAAAATAATAATTGGCTTTGCAACAATTTTAACAGTTCAAATTGGCCATTTTTCCTGATCTTTAAGACAGGTGGTGTGAAACAACATACTAGGGATAAGATGAATTTTCTTAGCAGGAAAAGAGTTAAGCCATAACAGTAGAGAGAATTTTATTCTGTTCCTGACTTTGCCACTGACTCACTGTGTTATCTGTGGCAAATAATTTATTTGTGACTTGGTTTCCTTACCTGTAAAATAGAGATAAAGTTGCTTCAGAAGATTGTTGTGAGGCTTTTTTAATACTGAGTTTTAAACGCTTTCAGAACTCAAAATGAAAGCCAAACATCGGTAGTAATAAATCTCAATATACGTTGGAAATGTGCCATGTCATTATAAAATTTATCAGTTTTGTTCTTTGCTAAGCATTTTATTTTTCAAGAAACAAAAAAGAAAAAAAGAAAAACAAAAAAAAAAAAAAAGAAAGAAAAAAATTGCATATAGCATACACATGCTTTCCTTTTGGGGCAGTGATATTCACAGATTTTTTTTTCACAATGTTTTCTCCTTCAGAAGCTAGAAAGAGATCCCTATCTTCTGCCATGAGACCTTTTAATCCTCCTCTCTAATGCTGTAGCATGGCTTTTTCAAGACCTGAATCCACAAAATACTTTAGCTCCTGCAAGCCTTATGGGCAAGTCCCAAGGTCTGCCTTGGGTGCCAAAGACCTCTTCTGACCCCCATGTGTACACCAGGGAGCAGACCGCCACCCTGTCCTCTCCTCTTGCCAGGAAGGCTCTCCTGTTACTCCCAGAGGAAGGTGTGAAGGCCACGCAGTTTGTCTCCTGTTCCTTCTCTACCCATCTGTGTAGGAATGTACCTCGGGGTTATCTTCTCTTCTGAGAAGCCAGAAGCCAGGAGGTACCACAAGAGGGGCAAAATCTAGAAGCTGGGTTCATGCCCAGAGGCACCAAGGCTCACGGGTTTCTGAGGGTGGAGAAGATGCATAGAGCATCTCTCCTACTCTGTAGTATTCTGAAAAATTCCCAGTGCAGTGAGGAACAAAGTCTGAATAAAGACTGCAGGATCTGCCTTTAAGCATAGGGTATGTATATGGAGAACTGTGAATAATGGAAAAGTGGATGAAATCAAAGAGGCTTTCCTTAGAAGTAACAAAGAGGTACCTTATCACCTTTCTTAGCAGGTGTAGACACACCATCACCCAAACTAACCTTTTTCTAGACATACTGTTAGGTACCTCCTTTTGAAGCCTCATTTGTATTTTGAGGAGCTCTTACTCAGGTTTTTCCAAAGGCTAGACTAATGCTGTGCTTGTTGAATCCTGTGGAGTTTTCCTGGTGAGTGAAGTCTCTGATCAACTCAGATGATTTTCCAAGAACTTTTTTTTCCTAATCTCAGCATGCAGTGGAGGAGTGAAGTATGAAACCTAATCCTATTCACTTAAGCAAAGAGACGTACAGCCCATAATGACCCCTTAGAACTTGATACCGAAGGAGTGCTGTCAGTACAAAATGTCCACATCCTTCTGTTTGAGAAGGAAGGAGGCAATACAAGGAACTAAAATGGTTTAATATAACCAAAACAGTAGAAGTTCACTCATTTCAACCAATTCATAGAGGCCTCTCATGCAGTTTCCTTGGATTATAATTGACACCTCCAGGTCCTAGTGCCAATGGGAAGGCATACTCTTTGCAGTGTTTACAAGACAGACAAACTTTCATGTCATTTGCAAAAGAGAAATGCTATAAATTTGTCTGTATGTGCAGACTTCTGTTGAGACAAACATTCACAGGAGTTGTTACAGCTACATACTGAGCATCAGCAAGGAGCGTGACACAGTATTAGAGATGATGTGATTCACCTGTCCTTCGGGATTGCACTGCATGGTACTCAGTCCTATTCCAGTTCTGACTTAGAATTCATGTCTGCATCCTGACTACACAAATTTAAATCCCAAATTCTATTTCTGAGTACTGCATGCTATTAGATCATACTGCATTGCGATGACTTGTAGTCAGAGTAGCAGTCATATTGTTTTGATTAATTTAATTTGCATATAGTTATCCTTTGTATTGTCTAATCCAAATAATAGTAATTCAAATCCACTGTCACAGAACAAAACATGGAATTGTATAACAAAGTACGATCAATGTGATTTAAATACAAAAATGCTGTTCCTGCCCACTCCAGTCAAAAGCACTCATAGGATAGCAGGGGTTGGAAGGGACCTCTGCAGTTCACCTGGTCCAACCTTTCCCAAAGTCATGACCACATGTTCTATGTGGAAATACATAAGGTGCTCTTTAAAAAATCCATCTTCTCCAATAATTTTTGTAATATTGTAATACTATTAGATGTAGTTGCTTATCCACCCAGGTCAATAAAGACACACATACACAAATTCATTTATATCTGTATAGATACACTAGTTATGGTGTATAGTCATACTACTAGTTATACACTAGTGGTTCTAAGATACCCATTAAGATGGCATTTAGGAATTCAATAAACAGTCATTCTGGCCTCAAATAAATATAGGATAAGATTGTGTCATATGCAAGCGCCACTTTTTTCCCTTTAGGATTTCAGTTCCAAAATGGTATGAGTAGTCAGGTGTTGCTGCACACTTTCCTCTTCTATGAACCAATGCTTCCTCTACATCAACACTGATCTTCTGTTTTTGGATAGAAAGTTATTTGTGGATGATGGGCTAAGTGCAATGAAACTATTCTCTTAACTACTTAAAGGGTTAAAAACTTTGGGGGCCAAATCCTTTTCATCTTACTCAAAAAAAAAAGTTCCACTGACTTCACTGGGACTGTTGAATAAGATGTATAGGATTTCAGACTCTTGGCCAAATTCCGGCAGAACAATACATAGAGCTGCCTGCCAAAACTGTCATACCCAGAAGGAAGACTGATCTCAGCCCTCACTGCCCTTGGCCACAACAAATCCGTAAGGAGGTGTCCTGGGACAGGAGTCAAGCACCACTGGCCACGTGTTGCTTCCATTGCACAAACTAGGTAACACACCATAGGCCAAAAATCTTAGGTAGGTTAAGAAAAGGTATTGTTAGCAGTATAGCACTTCAGTGTGTTATTTTCATTATTTTCTCTAAACATCTGTTTAGGCTTCAACTGCACATTGAGCCATGATTTGGCCTTTAATATATGGCAATATCAGCTGAACTTAATGTTACTATGATCATACCAATGTATTGAGCTAAGTGTGACATTTTTATGTACAATCTCATTTTGTTAGAGCTGTAAAAAGTGGTTTGTATGTTATGTGTTATGGGACAGTGCTCTTCCATTGTCCAGTACCGTTCTTTCGGGCTCCAAATATTTAATAAGAATTATTCATTGGAACTTAAAATATTTTATATGCTGAAAAGAAATTTTAAAATGCAATTTAGGAAGTACTGGACATGATAATATTAAGTAAAGCAGAACTTCCAACTGTATGAGACACAGGTTGCTAAAACACTATAAGGATCTTCTTTAATGTTATATGGATAGAAAAGGAAAAAGAAAAAAAAAAAGAAAAAAAAAGGAAAAAAAATCTTCAAAATTATGCCTATGCCTATGCATTTTTTTGGTCTACAACATTTGTGTTTCCAAGGAATTCAAATCTGAAAATTATCTTTCTTCAGCCTGTGAATGAAACAGTTTGATAATGTTTTACTTTCTTGTTTAATTGTGCTTGTATAGGTGCATGGGAGAGTGTGTTATAAGGTTGTGTGTAATGGGGTTGCAAAGTTATGCTGAAAGGAATATTTTGTGCATAGTTCTTAATCAAGATGAGACCACAGTTGTTTAATCTCTTCCTGTAGTTAAGCTGTAAGATCATCTATGTATGAGTGAAGAGTTCAGTAAGATAAAGTGCCAACATCCAGCTGATCAAAGACGGAAGTGGACGAAATTAGCATCAACCAAAGCCATAAAGTGTTAAAAAGTGTTCTGTGCTGAGATTTTTAAAAAGCAGTTCTTGCAGGGAAAAGTATGTAATGAATGAAATGACTGAGTAAGACTATGTTACCCTGAAACCTAGATTCATTGAGCCTACAGTTTTAACTCTCAAAACTCATGCTGGGTTTAGAGGGAGTATTTCCCTACTAATGGCTGGGTTTGTTTGCAAACCCAACAGTCATACATGTAATCATATGAGCATACAAACCATCTTGAATTCAGTGGGGCTTCTCTTACATACAGTTATTCTTATGCACTTACATTTGCAAAGTAAAAAACAAGAACTACATCCATGGGGAGACAAGCATCAACACACGAGGAAGGCCAACATGGAGGTAGTAGACTGATACTCAATATTACCATTCAGCTACCTACTTATCATGCCGTACCTGAAATTTTTAGGGACTAGATTTCCCCATAAGGATTATTTCATTGGGGTTAACTGCTCAGTAGAATTCTGTGTAGGCTCCAGGGACTTAATTATTTTTTGGGCCCACCCAAGCTGGGAGATCTTTTTTTAAGTTCTGAATCTGCCTGCTTGGAGAATTCAATAGTTCCCCTACAGTCTCCTGGCCTTTTTGTAATGAATCTTCTCATCCTTTTGTCAAAGACCTACTTTGTATAAGTAAACAAAAACATTTTAATGAATGGATTTGTACCTCTGACTCCTCCATGCAGGAGGAGTATCTCTTGTCATAGAATCATAAAATGGCTCAGGTTGGAAGGGATCTTAAAGACCATCTAACTCCCATCCCCTTCTGTAGGCAAGGACACCACCCACTAGATCGAGTAGGCCAAGGCCCCGTCCAACCCAGCCTTGAACACCTCCAGGGATGAGGCATCCACAACTTCTCTGGGCAACCTGTTCCTGTGCCTCACGACCCTTATAGTGAAGAAGTTCCTCCTAATGTGTAGTCTAAATCTATCCTCCTTTAGTTTAAGACCACCCCTCCTTGTTCTATCATTATCTACCTGAGCAAAGAGTCCTTCTCCATCCTTTTTATAAGACCCCTTTAATTATATTGAAAGGCCACAATGAGGCCTTATCCTTTACATTTTCTCTTCTCTTGTCCATAACTGAGTGACTCTTTCACAGTCTACCAAAGCAGATATTTGTAGTGCATGGAGCTGTAGAGCTCATAAAAGCTCATCTGTGAATCTAATGCAAAAAAATCTCTTTGCTGTTAGCCACAGTAAAGAAAAGGTCACATTCTGAAATGCCCGTTGGGAAAAAGGGGTGAACAGTGAGTCAATGGATCTCATCTGAAAGTGTGGCGCTGCTCAGAGCTCTGTTCCCAGCAGTTCCCTAAAAAATGAAAGAAAACACGTGCAATTCAATATAGCTTGAGTGAGAGCTTTACCAAGCAAAAGACTGGTATGAGCCCATTGTGTCAATGGAAATGAAATTTTCAATAACAATACAGGCAGTTGGTAAACTTATGAGGAAGACATAGTTGATATCTGTTGGTAAGAATGGGAACACGCACATTTAGATACACTGGATGTTACACTAGGTGCTGCCTTGGCAGTTTTGTTGTCAACAATAAAAGTTAAAAATACAACTTATTTGTGTAAAGCATTTCCCTGGCTTCTGACTGTTCGACATACTGCTTATACAAATAGGTTTTCTAATCACACACCTTAAGGATGGACTGTGATAACACAAGGGAACATATTTCAACAGGAAAATCTATACATGTCATGTGAGAATGTTACTACTTAAAAATTAAAATATGTGGTGCGGCAGTTGTTGTTAAGAGGAATAAACCAGCATGTCAGTATTTTTCATTGTATGCTTTAAATAAAACTGTTGACATGTAGAGCAAACAAATTATTTTTGTTGTCACGTCACTTTGAAACTCTGAGACTCTCTTTCTCCCTGGCTAACTCCTGGTTGCAGTTCAAATCTCCTTTGTTTTCCAAGCCCCGTGCTGATCACTGTTTTCAGAGCAGCTATTTGGCATTTCTGTTAGACCCTGGCTGTCACACCACCGTCACAATGAGCCACACAGGATGACAGTGAAGCCACTTTTATCCTGTCTTTTTCATTTTTTCACAAGGACAACTTTCTTTTAACAATGCATTTCACAGTCATTTTTCATCATCAAAATGTCTAACAAGACATGAAAACAGATGAGATGTCTGATTAGCGATGTAACATGCTTTCATTTTGATTGTCGAAGTCACATTAATTGAAATAAAAAAAACTAAGTTTCAAGGAAAAAAAAATAGTCACAATTCTGAAAAGCAATTAAGCTGTGCCGCTGATGAGAGGTTTTGAAGTGGTAAAGAGTGTTCCCTGTGTTTTGACCCCAAGGGCTTGCTTCAAAGCATGATTTGGGATGGGATTCTGTGGAGCATCTAAGACACCCAGATGAGACTGCTGACCATGAACCAGCACCCCTGCACATCTAGAGCAGCAGCTGGGCTCCTTAGGTCGCCTGAAAAGATGCTACCTGCCTGCAGGTGTGCTCAGCTGTGCATCAAGCCCGAAGGTCAGGACTCAAGTGTCTGAATGTTCCCCTCTAGTGCTATTTGGCATGCCCCACTAGTCCTTGGTAACTACAGCATTTCAAATGTGCTGAAGCTCTTATGCAAGAAGGTCTGCTAAATTATGCATTATAATTAATATAACTCACAGTAATTACGCCACATAAATCTATCATCAAAATTTGCATTGCTGTTCCCCCTGTCCTATCTCAAATCCTAACAAGAACGCTTTTCAAATGCTAAGTGCAAGCATTACATGTATTTCCTTCAGGGAGAAATCTATTCAAAGTGGTGATATCTGAGTTTACCAGTGTAAATAAAGCAGTGAAAACAGTTCTCAGGGAGCAAATGTATCCCCAGAGCTTTCTGCTTTTATTTCACCTGGTTAATGGTGTGGAGCAGAAAGCAAAAGATTCAGGGAATGTGGGTGCAGAACTTCTTCTGCCCAGCAAGCACGAAGTGTTGATGTTTATTGGTAAAGCATTTCCCAGTGATCCTCAGATATTGGCCTTGAATCTTTGATAGTCTCAGATTTGTCTCTTCATGTGAATGATGTTGCTGGAGAAAAGGACAGTGCTTGGCATAAGGAGATTTCTTTGTATGGAGGCATAAGCTTTAGAAAGAGACCCAGTATAGGATGTGTTATTAACCTACTCAAAATAAAGTTTTACCATTTGTTTGTAAAGAAACATAACCGAGATCACAGCAGCCTGACAGGGATTACGACCTGTTCTTGTGCAGAATGGGAAGAGCAAGGCTGTCCCTTGATCTCTTGCCAGGGCTGGTAGCACACTGGTCCTGACCTCAAGGAGGGAGTGAGGCCAGTGAGGTACTGCTGTGCCCCCGCCACTAAAAGGCCAAAAAATGTGCTGCTGGCCTGAATCACCACTAGATGACTCCTTCCTGAAGCCAGAGAGGGGAACAGGGAAGAAATGTTAAATTTCCAACCTGAACCTCTGCAGCATTGCAGCTATCCATGATCTGTTGGTAAGAGCAGAGTTAAATGATCATCTGGGGTTTGTCTGTAAAGGGAAAGATAGAAACTAACAGAGCATCACAACAGCTTAGAAGCTGTCTCTGAATTAGCAGGGCCTTTGTCTTCTGGCTGCAAACTTCAAAATAGTTCAAGTAGCTGGGGTAGAAATGATGTTAAGTAGTGTTAAAGTAAAGAAGAAAAAAAAAAAAAAAAAAAAAAAAAAGTAAAGAATAACGTAGATCATTGCCAGGAGCTAAAGTAAAGCAGATCAAAGTCCAGGGATAATTTTGAGGAAGCCAAAAACAGGGTGCCTGTGTCAAGCCATGGATCTCTGTGATAAAAGCTGCTAAAAATAAAAATAATAATAACTGAAAATAAACCATGGTATAAAAGACAAAGATTTTAAGTAAGTCTTGCCAAATGCATTATTTGGCAGCATCACTAAAGTAAAAAGCATGGAGTAAAGTAAACATTAGCTGTATCCTTTATTTCTTATAACATTTGCCTTGTTACTTGAGAGTCTGAGAAAACTTACTGTTCTGTATTCCAGATATATTTCAGAGCTTATTATGCCATCATTTTCCTTCAATATGAGTGAAACATTCACTTAGAGGAAGCTGATTTTCCCTAAATGATCCATAATTTAGCTGCAGGTCTTTCATAGATTTGTGGTGTCTGTTATGCCAACTTAAATCCAGTTTGTAAAGGCGTATAAATTGGTATATTTCTGCTTTCTGTGAAATGAAAGAAAAAAAAATCAGGACATCCTGCATTCCTTACGCAGAATCCCCCTGTGGCAATGTGGGAATAGCCACGAGGATCAGTAGGGCCAGAGTTTTGCTGTTAATTAGAAACAATCAAAAGGAACGGTCTGCTTTTATCTTCTTGCTGTTTATGTGTGGGATTATTCTGAGCCAAAGTTACTTATCCAAACAAAAAGAAAAATACAGAATAAAAGTCTCGCAGCCTGTAACTCACATTCTTATCATTTAAACCAGGCAAAGAACAAATCACTGCTTCTCATCCTGTGTATCCTAATGTTATTTTTTAAATAAAGTGAAAATGATTGTACAGTGAACATCTTTGTTAAGACAGCACCCCAGAATAGCCGTTCAGCTAACACAGACACTTCATTGCTTTCCTGAATTAAAAGTGAATGCAACAAGGTTTGTTTTACCCTGGGTTAATGCCAGTTGGGTGCTTAAATTCCTTCCTTTTAGTCGATGGTACACTGCTTACTCTAGCAAACTGCACTGAAACTTCGATTAAATTCAGTGTCTGACCCTCATGTGTGTCCAGAGAAGTATCAGAAAGCATGGGCAGGGGACTTGTCCCCTTCCTGCAGGGACTTGTTGCAGTGCCCTGCAAGGGACCGAAGCACTGGAGGGCACCAGAAGAAAGGAGCTGGCAGCTCCGCAGTGCCACTGCCTCGGGGGAGACGTCTGGGCCACATGGCTGCCTGTGCCCAGAGGTGCTGGGACATGAGCCATGATGCTGCAGTGACCTCAGGTAGAAGAGCGTCCAGCAGACACCTCGGGACAGATAAGGGGCAATCCAGGAGAAAAGCCATAAATCGCTTCTTTCGGGCAGAGGAGCTGGTGGCAACAACAAAGTGGGGAAGAGAGGAAGAAAATCAAAAGCTATAGGTACATCATGTAAAAAGAATATTTCAACAGTGTCCTGCCTGCTTCCCCTCATCCCATGTCCATCTCCTGCCTGCAAATGTTTTGGGTGACAAGACAGCAACTCAGGAGCAGCCCACAGAGTGGTGAAACGATCTTAAAAATGCAGGGGGTTATTCAAGGAGGATGAGATGAAAATTTCTGTTTCAGTACAATCAATACTACACAACAATAAACTACAGAAACATGCAGTAAGTTTGACAACCTTTTCCTGGAGAAAAGTTTTCTCAGCTCCAGCACGAATGCCTGGCCACCACAAGAGAGCATCATCCCCACAGAAAAGAGGAGGCTCAGCTTTGGCTGGGGAGGGCGTATGTCTCTTGTATTTTTGGCTCTCAGATTAGGAACTTTGTTCACAAATTCAGATGTGTGATCCCAACCACCACCTTTCTGAAAGTTTCTCCACTTCCTCTCCCAGAGTTTGTTCCAGTTTGACCAAACAATTAAATATTTATCCCCATTGCAGAGGGAAGGCAAACAGATTTGTTTTCTGCCTCCCAAACCCGTGCCCTAAACTCTGATCTCTTAGATGCTGCAGGACAACACTTGCAAACACATTTTCTGCTTTCATCCCAGTGCAACATAGATATAGATACTGGAAATTACCAAAGTTTAGGACATGGGAAAAACAATCCTTTCCCATGCTGCTGGGAGGATGGTGCAGCCAGCAGATTCCTGGCCCAGCTGCTTCTCTGAAGCTCTTACGCTGGTCACAGCATACACTTGAGAGTTCAGGCAGTGAATTATAGCTTGCTATAATAAGAATGCTCTGCTTTCCATTAGATCACACTCACTGGAACAATAGCAAAGGCACTGCGGCAGCCAGCGCAGCCGTCAGTGACATTTCAGGGTCTCTTTGCTTCATTGCTGGTGTCAGACAAGTTCTGGCAAAAGGACACCTTGGTCGCATTGTCAGAAGTAACAGATCGGCTCTTCTGAAGGAGAAAGAGAGGATCCAGGACAGGTGAACAGAAAAACTGTTAAGACTGCCAAAGAATCTTAGAAAAATTGGGGGGCTTGGGGCAGATATCATAAATCATGGATTAAAACTCAGTGCAGAACTCTCTCGTGGTGTTATGTGAGTAATAAATAGCACCCTAAGCTCTTAGCAGCAGCTTGAATAGTTCTTTATCAAACCACCCTTTGAAACTAAAGATAGGCATGTGTCCAGGGCTGAATTGTTGCAAGGAGTCACGAGAAAGGGACTGGTTCACCCAGCAGAAGCAGGGCACGTTTGGTCACTCCAACAGAATTTGGATTGGTTCGTATGAGAAATAAATGTTCAAAGTATTCCCATGTGATCTTATCTCTTTGGAGGGGCAGACCACTTATAAGGGGACAGATAAGTCATGCAAGTCATGAAACTGAGCAGTCGCAGGCATCATCTGTTGGGCAACATAAATGTTTTCATATCTGCCACTGCTCCTTTGGAACAAGCATGCCGAGTGCTGTCAGCATTGCCTTTTAATACTGCAGTAAATTCAAGGTCAGGAAATGCAAAATGTAAACATCGATATATGCAGATGTTAAACCTCCAGTTACAGTCGGTACAGTCAAAGATGCAATATCAGCCAATAACAGCCATATCAAGTGATTTATTCAGTCACCCACGAAGTCCTGCTTTAGGAAGAGATGAATTGCTCTTTAGGTTTTATTGACTGTGTTGGCATGACACAAGATTTACCCATAAGTGTCCAGCACTGCCTCAGCACTGGGGAGGTATCTGGGCTGACATCCAGCTGCTCCAAAAGGGTATGGGTTTCCCCTCTAAGTTCCCCTGCAAGTGCCTGCCACGTCTTGGACTTCTGAAATATTTCAGATGGCACCAGCATTTAGGTGACTGAATCAAGCCTCTGATCTCCTCTGGCTGACCCATAGATCTCTATAGTCAAAATACAGCAAGCTTATTTATAAATACTAATTTAGAAATACAAATAGACAATGTTAATCTACAAATAGACATGTTAATGAACTGGATTCCACTCTAGATACTGTATATTTGTACCTGCACTTGAAAGTTTCTTTGGTTTGAAGTTTTGCTTTGAGGCTGTTGTGTCTGTTAATTGCAGACTCCCACCTGCTTTTGTTTCACCCACCACAAGGCAACCTGAACTACCTGCTCAGGGACAGCTTATTTTATTGAGCCTTACAACGGGTGCGCATGCATACAGGCAGTTCAGAGACTGCTTTCAAGCCTTTCTATATCTGACTTACTCCAATTGACTGAACACTGCCATCAATCATGTTTTGCAAGACAGCCCCTGGAAGGCAACTCTATGGCAAAGACCAAAAAATAGTCGGATAGCTACAGGTGAAACAGAAATGAAAATATGTGAGAATACCAGACAAAGCAGCAAAGGACAAAGGAATTGTCAGTATTGGTACCCAAGGACATGGCTGGCAGCAGTGGAACTTGAAAGCTCTGAGGGATGAGTTATTCATTTACATCGTGACCAGAAGACCCATGCTTTGACAGCAAGAGGATGGCAACAAGAGTACTGCATGCCACGTGCCATGCCTCCTTCTGCTGTCCCACCAGGAGGACAGAGATACCCAAAAGGAGGAACCGTGGACCATGGACAGTACCCCTGCTGGAGATTTATAGAGAATGGAGCTTTTGCAGATGAAAAATTTTGCATTGCAAACAGCATTCACTGTTTGTCATTCAGAGTACAATTCCAAGCCAACTTATGGACAGCATCAGCTTGGGACTGATTGCTCCAGTCCATTTGTTTTGAAGTTTTTCTCCCAGCCTGTATGACTTATTTTGATTTTCCTGGAATTAAATGTTGACAAAAACTGCCTGCCATTCAAACTGCTCTTCTGATGAGTCACTGATGCACTCCCTGGCTTTGAGCAAACACCGAGCTATCCCAGTATTGCCTTTTGAAAAGCAGGGCAATGAGTTACGCTTTGCTGATAATGAAAAAGTGAACATGAATGGAATTATACCCAGAAAGTAAATTACTAAATAAATATGCATTAATGAGTGATTCCAAGAAGAGAACACACTTGTGGGAGCAACTGCCTTTTCACCAAGGCCAACCTTGATTAATGCCCTGCTTTATTAAACGCAGAAAGTCACCGTGACAAAGCACAACTTTATGAAGGTTATTAGGGTGGGGATGACTCTTTTCATTCAGTGATATCACCGGGGTTAGCAGGTTCCTGAGATACACCGCCTGTGTTCTTGTTCCTTCCTGTGAGATGTTGCTGTTGCCAGCGTCTGCCCCTCCTGCAGGTATGGCTCGATCCTGTTCTCAGTCTCCCCATACAAACAACCAAGGGACTGAGATTAACCTGAAAACACTTCAGAGGGAAGTATACAGTGGCCTTATAACAGCCTTCCAGTACCTCAGGGGGCCTACAGGGAAGCTGGGGAGGGACTCCTTGTCAGGGAGTGCAGTGATAGGACAAGGGGGAATGGCTTTAAACCAAAAGAGGGTAGGTTTAGATTAGATATAAGGTGAAAGTTATTTATTCAGAGGACGGTGAGGCCCTGGCACAGGCTGCCCAGAGAAGCTGTGGATGCCCCATCCCTGGAGATGCTCAAGGCCAGGCTGGATGGGGCTTTGGGCAACCTGGTCTGGTGGGAGGTGTCCCTACCCAGGGCAGGGGGGGGACACCAGATGGTCTTTGAGGTCGCTCCCAACCCAAGCCATTCTGTGGTTCTATTTTAGAGACATTGTCATAACAAGCCCCAGACCCTCCACTTTAGAATGAATACCACCAATGTTCACACATTCAGAACAGAACCAGAACAGTAATGTATCCTTATTTATCTATTTACATTACCATACATTTTATAAACTTAGGTTTATTGGCCAAGACTTCTACCACACACAGCAGTGAGATGCTCTGACCCAGAGAACTTGGACTGGGAGCCATCAAATGGACAGCAACAGGAAAAAGAGATGGTCAGTCCTGGGCAGCAGTCTCAGCAGATCAACCACTCAGTCATCATCAGGGCTTAGGCAGGCCTGGGGAATTTCAGAGAAGAGAATGAGTTAGTTTGAAAGCGTTTATAGTGGCTTTTTCTAAGGAGAGAGAGCGGCTGTGAGGAAAAACACAGAAGTGTTTGTTTGAAAATTACTAAGCTGGAAATTGAAGTTGGCATTGTATGTTGATCAGAGGTAGGACTTGGCCTCTGGATGATGAAAGGGTTGGTTTAGAAGTGGTTTTATCCGAGCAGTCACAGCCTGCAGAGTTGTGGTGAGTTCATGGGGAAAAGCAATTAATTCTGTGAACAGTAAATCCAGTGAAGTCTTGTTTTTATGAACTCATGTCTTATTTTCTTACCCACCCAACACAATAACGCTGGCAGCTCTCCTGGCCCAAAAGCCCTGCATGACTCTCCTCACCTTGGCAATGCATTCATCTTCTGGGCACATCCTCCAAATACCAGCTAGGTGAAGGGCACCGTGAGCTCCCTCCAGCTCCTGACATGGGGCATGTGCTCCCCAGACACCGCCGCTGCTGTGCACATGCTTCAGCTTTTGCTTCAAGGAAGGCATTACATTTCCTTTCTTATCTATACCCGGTGCTCAGAAGTCTTGTAGAAAACTCCACTATTCACCATTCTTCATCTCAACCGATCATCCCAACTGAACAGTACAGAGAGGAAGGCAGACTTAGTCTGTGATTCATCCCACCCCAAAATAGACGTCTAAATCAGGTCACTTGAATCATGCTGAAAGGTGCCAGCTGGTCTCCACTAACTGTAAGGACAACCTAAGGTGACTGTCTCAGATGAGGACACTGATACCATGTCTGAAGGCTAAACTTAGGTGAAATGAATCCCGTTCCAGTGCCCGTGAGCTGTGTGCCACACTATTGCACAATGCTAAAATTCGGCAGTTGATCTGAAAGTTGATAGAAAGTTGGTTTGAAAGTTACTAGAGAGGGACAGGTGGGCAGATGTGGTCACCAAAGCCTTCCTTCCTCAGGATGTCAAGCTGAAAAATCAAAAAAAAAATCAAAAAAATCAAAAAGGGAAGTGAGAGAAAATAAAAATAAATTTGTGTGTATTTCTGCAGAGGAAGGTGCTACGTTTGATGAATAAATTACTTGTTGCATCACTCAATCAGTTGTAGATTCCAGGCCTGTACATCAGATTGAAATATTTAAGGTCTGGTCTCCCCTGTGATAAACTGCCAAAAGAAGCACACAATAATTCCTGCATAAAATTCAGAGCTATTCATCAAAGTAGAGAGTATGCTGAAAAAGATAATATGTTTCAAATTGAGACACCTTCTTTCTTTGAAAAATTAAGTTCAGAAAATTGCATTTATCACTTTAATGGCTTTAAGAAAGTCTACATGGCAGCTTTTCCAGACCTCAGGCCATTTTGTGCCTCTTTTTGAGCCCTTCCCATCTGCTCAGCAGTTCTGCACGTGTGTGTGCAGTTCAAACAAGGCATTCCAGTGCTGGTGTCACCACCATCTTTCCAGTTGTTAAAACCACTGCACATTGTTTGACAGCAAGTACCAACAAGCTGTCTTATTCTACAAAAGTAAACGAGTTCACTTACCTTCTTGTCTTTGGCAAGCTTTTCCGGCAATTGATGTGTGTTTTTGCAGTCATAGGTAAAGAAATAAGGTGATGAAAGCCAGAAGATGGAAGAGAAGCCACACAAGCATGGGTTTTGACAAGATGATAATAGTAGTTCTGTGTTACAAAAATAATAACAATGATCAAAACACAACTTGCAAAGGACCTTGAAGCTTTTTGTTACATGCCCCTTTTTGGGTTCAGCTTGGGTTACCACGCACCTCTGTTTCTGCAAGCCTGGAGCTGGCCCAAAAGATCCCCACCAAGGTCTACAGAGCAGATCCACGAGTGCTCTACAACGCTGCAGCACGTTTACTGAATTTCTTTCTCAACACACAGACACACAAGTCCACTTTGTGCAACTCCATTGTGAAAAGAAGGGCTGCAAGACACAGTTGTGCCATAAGTGCTCTCCTCTTACCTCATCAGTGAAATCCCAGGACAGCAGGGGTGTGGACACCTTCCAGCTTGTCATCCTCATGGTGGCCCCATGCCCATCTCTTCAGTGTTGGAAGCAGCCCAGGAAATCCCTTTCAGGGCTGTTGCTCAGGAGCTGCGTGCTTGCTGCTCCAGTGCTCTCCTCCTGCTGCATCCTGCTGTTGTGCGGGGCTGGGTGTTCGTGTGTGCACCAAGAGCAAGGGAGAGGGTGAGAATGAGCAAGTGAGGGAAGAAGCAGTGCTCCATCTTTTGGCACTGATTCTTGCTAATGTCAGCTCAAAGAAATATTTCCTGCCCCTGTATGGACTTCACAGAATCACAGAATTTCTAGGTTGGAAGAGACCTCAAGATCATCGAGTCCAACCTCTAACCTAACACTAACAGTCCCCACTAAACCATATCCCTAAGCTCCACATCTAAACGTCTTTTAAAGACTTCCAGGGATGGTGACTCCACCACCTCCCTGGGCAGCCTGTTCCAGTGCCTAACAACCCTTTCAGTAAAGAAGTTCTTCCTAAGATCTAACCTAAAACTCCCCTGGCGCAACTTAAGCCCATTCCCCCTCGTCCTGTCACCAGGCACGTGGGAGAACAGGCCAACCCCCACCTCTCTACAGCCTCCTTTAAGGTATCTGTAGAGAGCGATAAGGTCGCCCCTGAGCCTCCTCTTCTCCAGGCTGAACAAGCCCAGCTCCTTCAGCCGCTCCTCGTAGGACTTGTTCTCCAGGCCCCTCACCAGCTTCGTTGCCCTTCTCTGGACCTGCTCAAGCACCTCGATGTCCTTCTTGTAGCGAGGGGCCCAAAACTGAACACAGAAACTTCTCATCCTTAGCAGAACTGTCCTCTTCAGCTTTTTCTTCATGACTGTGGAAGGCACATGACTGCTTCTCTTACCGGGCTCTGCAAGTCATATGGTTTGCAAATAGCAATGGTTATTTTAAACCAGAATATAAAATTAAAAAAAAAAAAATAATAATAAAAAAAAAAGCAGAGAGGAGACTCTGAAAGTATTCATTCCATCTGTTTTACAAAAAGCCAGACAAAGCAGTCAGCTGCCAACATCACATGGGGCTCCTCCTTCCAGCCCCCAGGACACACGGACTATTCTTCAAGTGGGTTAAGCCAAGAGCATCCCAGCTCACAGGCTAGTCCCTCTGGATGCAACTGCAAATATATAAAAGCTTTCCACTCTTCCAGCTCTGCTGAAAGGGAGCATGAGATGTCGGCTCACAAGCAGAGAGCACTGCAAGGCTGTGTCCTATCCCAGCAGCTGGCCAAGTGACCTGGCACATCCCCAGAGAACTCCTCTGGTGTGAAGTACTGATTAAAAGCGATGCACGTCCGTGAGATATTTGTCCAATTAATTCACTGTTCTCTGCTAAAGACCAATCTTTTGGATAATTCCCCATCTGTATCTGCAGGCTCCTGTCCCCCAGATCCTCGTCCTCCATGTACAGAAATCCTGACTGCAAGATTTCTGTACACGGACCTTTCTGTGGACCTTTCAGAGGTCCACACTGTCAAAGAAGCATCTTCTAAACCCCAGGAAATTGGCCCACAAAGTCCAGGCCAAGTTTCTGGGTGCACTGAGAGTTGCAGAAAAATGCCATTTTGTGGCAGTTGAGATTAGAGCACTAAGGAATTTTAGATGGGAAATATATATATATATAGAAAAATGAGCAAATTCCTTGCATTGTGTTAAAAAGACATAAAATTTTAATAAAATGAAGACTTTCTTCTGTGTCTTCAGCACTGTTTCTTATTAGCCCAGTGAAGGAGTGTGAGCTTTCTCTGATAGCAGAGGGGAGTTGTGCAATGGCAACCCGTCTCAGTGCCACGTGGCTATGGGCGTTTCATGTCCCGCATAATGTGCAAATACGAAGTTATTGGTTTGCTAGCGAGTTTGCTCATGTGAAACAGGGCCAACAGAGAATGACTGGACAGAAATTAGAGGGACTTTTCACATAGAGGGACATTCTCACATGGAAGGGCATGTGGTACATAGCCCTCATCACAACCTAAGAGCAGGGCTCTATGCTTTTACAGAGAAGTGGAGGCTAACACAAGAGTTGACCAAGGACCTCCTTCAGCAAATTTAGCACCATGTTATGAACAAATTGTGTTTTCAATTTTAGATGAAATTTACATTGAGCTTGATTTACTTTTTCTTTTCTTTTCTTTTCTTTTCTTTTCTTTTCTTTTCTTTTCTTTTCTTTTCTTTTCTTTTCTTTTCTTTTCTTTTCTTTTCTTTTCTTTTCTTTTCTTTTCTTTTATTATTTTTAGAGAGAAGAGGACTTACTATATGCGTTACGGTATAGAGAATTGGTAGTGACTACGCACCTTGACAAATTCTCATTTCTTTGTGAAATTAATTAGTAGACTTGGGCCATACTGCTCACTGACCTGGGCACCGATCTGTAGCTGCTGCTACCCTGTGAATTCCCTGGGAAATATCTCAAGACTGCCTCCTCCAGCCCCTTTTTCCCCACAAGCAGGCATATGCTTCAGAAAGAAAGTCACCTGAGTTTCCTATGAGTTTAATTCTTGCAGCTATTTTTTTTTCCTGTGACTACTGTGCAAGCTGTGCTGCCTGTAAGTACTGGGAGTCTGTTTACAGCTGAATTTTCCACTTGAAGCTTTTAGAAATAATTTACAGTGCAAAGGATTAAAACAAACCAGCGCACTAGTCAGAAGAGAAAATGTCAATTGTCACAATTATCCATTTTTTCTGGTTTATACCGCTTCCTACCACTCTCAGTGGGAAAGAGGCAAAGTCTGTGGCAAATTTGATGTTTTAATTCATGTGAGTAATTTAATCATTTAGGAAGAAGAGGTGCCAACTAGAAAACAAGCAGACAACGTAAAACTAATTAAGGTTAAAGATATTCATCTATTCACATTCCAGAAGGCTGCCCTTTGGACTTTCTTTGAGATAATACATTAACATCAGGATGAAATGTTGACATGCTGTCCAACTTTTCACCTGATATTGAATTGCAAGCTGCAGATGCTGAGTCACCCATCTTTCTTATTAGCACAGTGAAATAGCATGACACAGCTCAGTCAGCAGAGATAACAAGTGGATCAATTTCCTCCCAAAAGAAGTCCTGGCTTCATTTGTCGGTATGTCAAGGAAAATTAAAAGTAACTCATAAAAAGGATCTGTTCATTTGTTTTCTTAAAGAAGATTTGATCCTCTTAGATTACTCCAAGTGTCACCATATTCCAACTACTAAGGAACTGATGAACTGCTTTTCATAGCACTGCTGCCGACTTATGCAGTAATGTAGTTTGTCATGATAACCATATAACCATGGTTATATATGGCTACTCATAATCATTGTATGACACACAGAGACACAAAGAACAACCACAAGTTTGAATTACTTTCAACCCCAGGCAGTCCCATATTGAAGCAGAAAGCTGAGGTTGTCGGGAGGCACAAGAACAGCTACGTGATGCAGATGGAATTAGCCAGCTTGTCCAGAGAGCACCACGAGCTTTTACTAGAAGACAGCAACTTATTGGATGGACCTGCATAAGGTGCACGTTTATCACAAAGAAATGGTGAAAAGCAAACAGCCACATAGTCCTGTGCTCAGTTCACATCAACTTCTTCTGGAGCCAGGAATAAGAAGGTTTATTTTACTGGCAAGTAATCTGTGAGAGGCAGTAGGAATACACATTTTAGGGTCCTTTGGGAATTGACTGACTCCCAGGGAGGATAGCCTCTCTCGGTGTGTGTGTCCAAATGGCAGAGGTCAGCACAGCAAATCTGAAGCATCTAACTTGCTGATGAACACCTAAGTGTCCACATGCTGGTATTCACATAGGAAGTCTGTGTTTCCAGCTTCTCTCTTGTAAAGTTAGGAACCCCAACACAATAATGAAAATTAACATTGCAAGGCTTTAACATCATGAAATGCCAGAATTAAGTCCGCCTTTAACGTGGCACTCTGTTGTGTGTATATTACAATACACCTTTTTAATGGTACCACTGCATTAGTATTCCTTTCAAGAGATCCCTGCTTCATTCAGTGCACAGGAACAGCAGAGGTTTCTTACAGACAGTCTAGCCAGGATTTTTATTAGCACTGTCATTCAGAGAGCTGCACCCTGCATTGCTTACTAAACCCTTTCCCAACATGACCCGGAATAGAAAATTAAAAATACAACACTTTATTTTGAAAGTTCAACTCCCGGTAACATTCAGCTGCAGATGAGTGCTAAGATTCAATAGTCCAAGACAAGAAACTAAAACACAAAGACCAACAAAGCTGTGAAAACCTTGTTTTCAGGTCTTGCCTCCTGCAGGTTGTGAGACACAGTGATGTCCAGCTGCATTTGCCATGGCACTAGTCTTGCTTTCCTTTCAACTTCTGACTCATCCCTGAAACCTTCATATTCTGCAGCAAATGCATCCGAGACCCTTCAGGGAACGGCGTCTTTCATCTCACCCCAGAAGATGTTCATCTTGTCCTCTCACCGGACACAGTTCCACCAAAGACCTCAGGCTGCCACTTTTCTGATTGACTGTAGGAAATGTTTGCAGAGTACAGAAAAATGCCGCAGGGTATCACAGAGATGTGCAAAGCTGAAAACTTGCAATTCCCTCTGATCTATCCCCAAAATGACCAACATATCTAATGCTTATGTGCATGCCCATAGAAGAATGGACTGCTGTCTTAGAAGGATCCTGAAGGTGAGCAGATGGGACAAAACTCATGGAATAAGGCAAAGCTTCTTGCAGGAGATGACGTGAAGGCCGTATTTGTGGCACAAGGAGCACTAGGCGTAGAGCTGCCTGTAAGGCAGTGGCAGCTGCACTACGGCACTTCCTATCTGTTCAGAGGTGCACTACAGCAAAGTACAAAGCAACACAAACACCCTGTTTCTTAAAAAGAGGCTAAACTGGAACCCCATAATCCACTTAGAGGTGTCAGAGGAGAATCTGTTCAGGAAAACCAACAGGTGTGCTCTCTGTGAGGGTTACACCTTTCAACCATGACTTCTACATAATATTGCTTGTATATATTCAAGAAAGATGCATGTTTTCATATATAGGTGACCTCTTGAACACTCTAGGATATTGTGGCTAGCCTCCAGCTGCTGGCATAGAGGGAATAAGGGTCCACGAAGTCCTAGGTTGTATCTGCAGCACTGAGTGGATGCCTTGCCTACTTTCAGTAGCTTGTGTCCAGGCAGCTGCCCTGTTCCCTACCAACCATTTCGCCGAGGATGTCACTGTTTTGGCATGCCTTTGGCATTTAGCCCATCTGCTTCCATGCACCCAATGCTCCCACATACCTGCCCACCACACATGCCTATCTCATGCAGGGTGCCAAAGGCAACAATGAGTCATTGCAGTGCTCACCCCGAGATGCTGTTGCGTGAGGAAGATGAGTTGTTCTTGCTGTGGTTTTGTTTTAATGAGCCTAAAGTTCCGTTTCCTGCAGAGCTTAAAAAATGGAAAACTTTATATGACCTTTCAAGAGAAGATAGCTTGGGAGGTGCCTTTCTTTTCTTTTAAACCAGCTTTGGCAGTAGAATGAGGAAACAGTCAGATAAGTGTTAAAATGAATGATGAATCCACATATCAGTTATCTGATATCGGTTCTGAAATAATACCATATTTTATTATTTTAGGTTGAAAAAGAGAACAGTTCAGAATTTATGACATTAAAACTCATCTCACTGCAGCCAACAGAAATATTGTCTTTGACTTCAGTAGAAACAGAAAATGTTCGAGTTCATCTGGAATACACTTTGAACACTGGAGTGATTACTACTTGCTGACAACCATTAGCTTTCTTTCTTTTCCTCTTACTGAATCACATAAAATCTTTCTGGGCAGCACATTTATTAACTGCTGTATAGCTTCATAGTTTCTCTACAGATTTTTGAGAGGAATATGAGAAGTTTCTTTTTGAAGTTTCCAGAAATCTAAGATACAAACAAACAAACAAACAAACAAAAAACAACAACAACAAAAGTGGAGAAAGAAAGCCTACCTAAGTCCTGTGGAGATGGTAGAAGATATTGCAGTCATTTCTTGGAGGAAGCTGAAAGATGAGCTTACAAAATGCCTGGATTTTATTGACCTTCTTCCCTTTGAGCAAAGCCTTCTTGCTGTTGTCACACTGGCTAGCCCATAATATTGTAGTCAGAATCTTCTCCAAATATAATCACTTCGTGAAAGACAAATCCATAAGAGCAAATACAATAAATAAATAAATATGATTAAAAAAACAAACAAACAAATATGTATGCAGAATGCTGCTAAGAGTGGACTGTGCATGAGCAGAACTTGGTTCTTTGTTATTCAGGGGTAGTGGCAAATTACAAAAAAAGCTGGTTCACCAGCTTGCCAATACCATAAAGATCTTGTTTTCTCTTCCTCCTCTTCCTTTCCTGAGACCAAGACCCAACAGATAATCTTATCCATTAGCATTAGCTTTAGTGCTCTTCAGTACCTTTATGGTGTAAGTCAAATTCACCTTTTTTCCAGTTTAATCTTCTTTTGTTTCCAGTAAACGGAATCAGCTTGGTGCAGGGTCAGAAAAACACAAGCCAGTGCAAGTGTGAGGAAGAGGGCCAAGGCAAGGAGAGCGGTAAGAAGGGCACAAAGCCTCTTCCTGTACGTGGAAATGAGCTGTTAGGTCATGTTAAGACTGAACACATAACTTCACCCTTGGCAGCTTTGTTGCAGACACTAATTCCTGTTACTTGCCCTATAGACTTGTCTTAACAGCCATCCACAGCCCATCAGTAATTATACAGCCCAGCTCTGAAACGTAAGCAATAGTATAATATATGGCAAACACAATGAAATTCAAGAGAAAACTACCTCAGAGACCAAATATTAAATGTGTCTAGAAGCATAAAATGTACAGTAGCATCTAGTAGTACTTCCAAAGCACCCTGATATCCCTTGAGAGCTGAGCATTTCTTTTTAGCTGTAGCACTGTTGTCTTCCAAGAACCTAGGCCTCACCTCCACACAACCTACATGGTCAATTAGGAGCGTGTCTTTCTTTCTGCAAAACGTTCTGAGAAACAAGTGTGGTAACACCACCAACACCACGACAGCCCATGGTCAATGGCTACATCTTCTAACAGCAGTGTTGATGTGGCATATGGGAGCAGTGGTGAGATAGCAACCTGCAGTGCTCTTCCTTCACACGGTATGGTTCCTCACAGGCAGTAAGTAGCACCACTGAGCTCATAGTCCACCGGTTCTTTTCAGGAGCTGAAGATATTTCTAGGAATATAAGCTGCCAAAGAAAGAAACAAGTAGGATGCAAAATTGGAAAGAGTCCAGTGGAGGGCCACAAAGATAATATGGGACCTGGAACATCTTTCCTATGAGGAAAGGCTGAGAGACCTGGGCCTGTTCAAGCCTGGAGAAAAGAAGACTAAGAGGGGATCTCATCAATATGTGTAAATACCTGAGGGGTGGGAGACGGAGGGATTTGGCCAAAGTCTTTTCAGTGGTTTGTGGGGACAGGAGAAGGGGCAATGGCCACAAAATGGAGCCCAGGAAGTTCCACCCCAACATTCGAAAGAACTTCTTCATGGTGAGGGTGATGGAGCACTGGAACAGGCTGCCCAGGGAGGTTGTGGGGTCTCCTTCTCTGGAGATATTCAAGGCCTGTCTGGACGCCTACCTGGGCAGCCTGCTCTAGGGAACCTGCTTTGGTAGTGGGGTTGGACCCGATGACCTCTTGAGGTCCCTTCCAACCCCTACAATTCTGTGATTCTGTGAAAATTATTTGAATACCTGAACCATTCAGTGGAAGACCAACAATTCTTTTTCGATCTATTTGGTCTGTTTGTTCAGAATTGAAATGGCATATTGACATTTCAGCTTCATTAGTGTTTGCTGACCTAGCTGAGAATGTGGTTTACTCATGAGGTGTCTGGAACATGCTTTTGCTCACTAACAAATTTAATCTCCTGTTACACATAGTAATAAATAGGGTTTTATTTGGTATTTTGAGAATCTCTTACAGAATTAAGTTGAAAACCTTGGTGGAGTGCCACAGATTATACAGCTCTTCTGGAAAGGAATATTAGGGTAGATTGGTAGAACAGAAGTCATGAGAAATTTCAGAAGTACAAGGGTTTCTTATAGATTGATCCATGGGACCAAAACCTGCACATGGATATACCAAAAGGGAGGTTAAAAAGTACCACAATTCCTTGTTTCAATGCCTGAGAAGAAAATAACTAGCACTAGATTAAATTATGTTGAGTATGAAGGCTTTTGGTGGGTTATTCTATCTGCTGTGTGACTAGAATAGCCCATGGTGTGACCCTTTCATCCTTCTCTGCCCCTTTGCGTTGTGCGTGGACAGAAAACACATCAGCATCACTGCCTTGGCACTGCCCTTTCTGTCTCCACCTGAAACAAGAGCACCAATTGATCCTATGGCCCTAGTTTTGGAAAGAAACGGGTGATAGCAGCTGATCCCATGGGCAAAACTGAGGGGAGTCCTGGTGTCAGCACCACCACAGGGTTTGGCAGACAGATGCTCTTTTTTACACAACTGTACAAAGTACAGTTCCTGTGATAAAACATTACAGTATGTTACAGGTTATTTGGGGCAAGGGTTAAATTTCCTCTACTCTTATCTTTGTGCCCGATGCATTCTTTCGCGGAAATGGGGATTTGGGCAAAGATTAAAGAAGACACATATGCGAATGACTCGTTTACCACACGGGCACTGTATTATTGTTACTGGAAGTATTAGCAAGGGTAAGAATCTGAGGCAAAGAATCATTTACAGGCATTGAGGAGAAACTAGGCAGTTATTTTCTATAAACCTCAAATAGTTGAACAACAGAGCCTGTAGGGATCTACTAATGCAAAGCTTGGTGTGGATTCCAACTCTTACCTCACTTGCTAAGCATTAACTATTTCTTTGTGCTTAAAATGAAAATCTTCAAGAATGCCACATGACAGGCATATACATGTTTGTGTGTGTGTATATATATATATATGTATACAGAGCCTGTGCTTAAACAGGGAATATAAACAACCGAAACATGTACCTTGCACGCTTTTGCAATGAAGTAAGGTTATCAACGCAGACTCTGACATACAAAGGTGCAGCTCTATTTCAAGAGCTATTTGCATATCTTTATTATTTTATGGTCATTGCTTTAGTGTCAGTGGTTGAACACCCAGGAGAATATGGATTGTCAAGCCTCCCAAAGGAAACCAGTCTGAGAAGGGGTGAGGGGACTGAAGGCACATTTCATTCACCTGCTCTGTTGACCTTCTGCACCAGAAGACCAGAAGGTCCAAGTCCCACGTCAGGGGTTTGCTAGGTTTGCTGGGGAATATGTGGCTTTGCCCAGCGGGTCTCTCATTAGTCCTGACCTTTACAACAGTCCTCTTTGGCACAGTGCTCTACCCTGAAAAGCTAACATGGGGCAGGGATGCTGCTAACCAGTTCCTGGCTCCAGTTAGCTACAGAGATGCACAAATGACTGTGCCAGTGCAAGCACAGGGAACAGGAGAGAGCAGGATGACACATCATGTCTGCCAGGCCACTGCATAATTCACTGGTGGTCCCAGTACCCATGTCCACAGGTGCCTGTCTCTACTCTTTCTTACAAAGTAATTTCACAGCAGGCTTTATAGGTAACTTAGGCTCTTACTCTAAGATACCCGGATCTGCCCCTGCAGCTGGGGACCTACAGTTAAGGTAAAGCAATAATTATTCTAGGTACTTAAATGAAGTATCCTGGATCCTACCCAGAGCAGCTTGAAATCTCTGCTCATTAATTTGTCTACCTGTATTATATAGAGCTGTTTATGCTTACTCTCACTTGACAGTTCCTCAGAGGTGCTATAAATAATACAAACATATTAAAAAGTTCTATAGCACTAAGTACTAGGCCAGCTTTTGAAATGTATCAATTGCTTCACTTAGAAAATTTTCAAAAAAAGATATTTTCAGCATCTTCTACTTTAATTCTCTTTGACATGGAGTCTCCAAAACATTTCCAACTTCTCTCTGGAATGTACACGTGTCTGGTGAAAACACTTTGGAGGTATGAATGGTGTTACCAGTTACAAAAAATATATGTTAAAAAATACTGACTTTTTTTCTCTCACTGTTTTCTTCTTTCAGCGTTCCCTCTCACTATTTTGATTTTGCATTGGGCTCTGCCCAAAACCTTTAGAAAATCACCAAGCAACCAATTTCATCAAGAAGAAGAGGAGAACGCATTTCCAATAATTTTCAAGTTTTCAGTAGAACTTTATACTCCAGATGAAGTAGATTATACACAATATGCAATATGAAGTAGATGAGATGCAGGGACTTTGTAATTAAAGATTTGGAGATAAACTTGCAACTGAAGAAGGTGTAATTGATCTCTGGAGACTATTCAGTAACTGACTATTAGTAGACTATTTTCTCCGCACCTGCCACTCAAGGTATCCTGGTTCTCAATATGTTCCTGAAAAAAAAATGCTTTGGTGCAAAATTATGTCTGAAAATAAACTATTCTTCACTAGCCATCAGAACCATAAGTCATGCAGGAACTAAGGTATGGCACTCAATAAAAGTTTGAGATTGTTTTTCAACAGTTCACAATGGCAGCCACTACTGCCACTACTTGTAACCTATAAAAAAGCCTGTAGGTTGTTATTTTTCTTGCTATGTGAATGCTGGGTTAGACTTTAAGGGCAATGATGTCCTGGTTGTTAGTAAAATACCAAAGGGTACTCGAAGACTGCCTCAGTCTTTCTAACCAGATGCAGTTCTTAAGATTAAGCTACTGCCTGGGACTTAAATGTTCAAATCAGATCATTTTTGAGACTCTGTACTCTGCATTTAGGGGCTTGCAAAGCTTCCAATAAGGTTTTTGAAAGGCTCTAATCTTATAAAGTCCTGCTCTATCTTATTTTCCTCTTGAAGGCTAGTTTGTTTCCCCTGCTGGTTTTTCTAAGGTACAAATGCCCATATGCATGCCCCTTTAAAACACAAGAGGATTATTGCCATTTGATTCATTGTTACATGGCCAAAGGTTTCCAGAATGAGTGATCTTGTCAATATTGACCACCCTCACCACAAATCAATCAACTATAACTGAAAACATAGTAAGAGAATTGAATGACTAAGGGAGACAGAGCTGCAACACACAAAAAGCTGCCAGGCAACGAACAGCTACACGAAGTGGGGAAAAATGACAGACCCTGTCTTGGGAAATTTGTGGTATTTCCAGCTTTGCAGATCTAATAATGTGACAGCTCAGTACATTGAGCTGGACCTGACCTGAATGTGAGTGGGTGCAGAAAAACTTGAGCTTCATGTTAGGTACTTACACAGCTCCCGGCTGTCTGCTTTCCTGGCAAGGAGACCTGATTACAAGGGGATGCGTGAAGCTGCTGCCAGGATGGGACAAGCTTGTTGTCCAGGTTGCTGCTGGGCAGGAGAACACGTCTCCAGGTGGGATGATGGAACCCAGGCCACCACCATGGCCTGCCCCAAGGCATGGGTACAGCATGGTCCTATGGCCATTTCACCCCTCTGGGGTGTACCTGGCACAGCAGGCTCTGCTTTACTTTCCTGGTCTGGAAAATACTCAAGGCTGAAACATGGTGTTAAAACCCAGGTATGAGCTGTTACTTATGCATCTTTCTTAGCAATTATGGTATTTTCCACTACGAACCGGTATTTCATTCTTAGCTGCTAAACCTCTCCATATAAAATAAATATGCCACAATTTGGGAATGGCAGGAAAGAAAAGGCAGTTAGTTGCTAAAGAGAAAAACGTGATGTATTTATGCTACTTTTCAACTAACTTGTGAATGTTTCAACTAATACTCAACTAATGCTTGGGGTTTTTGTGGGTTGTTTTTGGCAGAAGCTGATTGTGGACTTCGGAGTTTTCAGTGTGCCTTCTTTCAGTGCAAGAAAAGCACACAGACTGACAGTCCTACCTGTGGGAGGACCCAAATAATGAAGGAATGCAGCTGCTTTATTAAACTGCACACGTCTGAATTCAGTCCTTTGGAAAACTGAGCTGTCAGCAAAGCCTTTGGAAGGACGTTGCACACAGTGTTTATTTCAGGTCATGACTCTACTGTTTTTCGCATCTTTTGCCTAAAAAGGACTTTTGCCACTTCTGATATTCGTTGTGAATGAAATGACATGTTAAATAAAACAGCTTGGCATGCAGAGAGGATGAGAAGGTAGTCAGTCTTCTGCTTTGTCACTGAGCACCTGGCATTCTTTTGTTCTACATCACACAGTTATTACTTACTAAGAAAGAAAAAGAAAACAACTAGGTCAATCTTTGGAGAAACAAAATTAAGATAGTCCTGTAACACAGACTGTCCAGCTTAGAAGATGCTGAAAACAAGATAAAATGGAAAATAATTTGGAAGTTCTTACTTTTCTTGGAAGCACTTTGTACCTTGTGGGCATCGCCAAAAAAGACTCTTTTTAGGAGAGATTAGGACACAATGATGAGTGAATCTCCAAGGGAACAGATAGTGGCAGGAGGAAAGGTGCAACAGGGCTAAAAGATGAACAAGGTGCAATAGGCATCACTAGACTGTTCTGAGAGGTAGCAGCTCAGCAGTTTGCACACAGAATAACTCACACAATACAGTATCTGCTACAACCCCTACCAGCACTCACGGCCAGGTTAGATATGCCAGATTTAATAAAGACACCCTAATCATGTGTTGCGCACAGTCACAGAAAAAGAACATGTGAGCTAGTAAGAAACTAGAAATTCAAGTTGATTGCAAGAACAATAAGTTTGTTACGAAAAAAAAAAAAGTGATAAGTTTATGAAAAAAAAATCAGATAAAGATTATTTTGACATAAAAGCATGAAACTTTGAACATTGAAATGCATGATTAATTTCCATTAAAATGTATAAGTAAAAAACTCCAACCATCAAAGCCAACTGTATAAATGAGAAATCCTACAAAAAAATAAAAACCCACCACTCAGGCTCATGACAGAATTTAATCCTAGTACAGTAGGATTCCATACATCAAGTGGAGAACAAGACGCTGAGAGCAAGAAAAAGAAAAGTTTAAAGCAATACTGAGAAGTCACAACAGTGTCTTTCATACACTAATTGAGAAATTAGCTTAGAGAGGAATCAGTATTAAAATTTTCCTCACTGCAGAACAGGAAGGCCTTCATTTGAAGATCCTTCACTTGAAGCTTTTCAGTGTTGTGACTCTCACCTTACCTGAAACAGATTATTTAGTTCAAGTTACTAGTTGGAAGACTTTCTGCATTGAGAAATAATTGCTTGAGCACAGGTCTCTCCAGTGCCTGATGAAATGCCTGGAGGTCTCCTAGCTCAAAATAAGGCAATTACCATATCTGCTGCTCACCTGAGTCAGTACTGGACACAGGTGCACATCATAAATTATAGACCTGAAAGCATAAATTTGCATCAAAAAATACAATGATTTTTTTTTTCCTACCAATGATATTATTCTAAAACTCTGAAAGTGGATTGTTCCGGTTGAACCCTTTATTGCATTCACAGAATAACATGAGATTCAGAAATGTCAACTCAATAATCACTTTGAACAATGCTACTCTAAAAACTTTCTGATGATTCATGAAGAAAAACATGTGTTTCTTTGTTCCCTGTAATATCAGCCTCATCACAAGACATCTACTTTTTACTTGTTATGTCTAGTGACAGCTGGTAAAAAGAAGCATTCTGAGGGATGGTTCTTTGAGCAACCTGGTCCAGGGGGTGGCATCCCTGCCCATGGCAGGGGGTTGGAACTCAACTGAAGGTCCCTTCCAACCCAAACTAGTCTGTGATTCTATGACTGGTCTCACCCATGAGCATTTCATCTCTCCCTGTAGGTATATTCTTGAAGCGCCAAGCTACTTTGTTTAGATTACATGGCAGCTGATTTAACAATTTAGCAGATACCCAAAAGATGAAGTGGGTTGTACTCTAGGGAGTTTCTAGGAAGACAGGAACATATAAATGCTAAGGCCAACTCCTCGCTATTGCACGTACCAGGCCATACATCCCCTTCCAACAACCTTATCATCTCCAACTTAAAAATTCATGGGCTGTTTTCCTCAACTACTTTAACTGGAAAACTCTTCCATACCTCTAATACCTAAATTTGAGTAGAATTTAGTTTTAGAATGCTTTTCTAATGGTTTTCAAGGCAAGGATAAGTAAGATCACTCATGATTTTGTAACCTCAGTACTTTTTTTTTTTTTTTCTAGCACAGGTGTTATGCTGCATCAGTGCTATCATGCTATCATAAACAAGCAGCTGAATCTCACCTGGAAGTGATTTTTCCATCCCTGGAAAAAAGATAAATATTTCCTTTTTATAACTGGATGCAAACAATTTGTGTTCCTTTTCATACAAGGCAAGGCTCCTCCATCAAGTTTCTGTTCTAAATCAGAGCAAGGAGAACAAAAAGGAACAGATGATATGTATTTAACGGGACATGTAATTTGATTAGAGCTTCATTTGAGCCCAAAGTAAAACAAACAAATTAAATATCAATAAATAAATAAATAAAACATTGAAAATGCACTAAAGTCACACTCCCTGGTCACATTTACCAAATAAATGGTAATTTGCTGTGCGGTAAGTAGATACAGTTTCAGGAACTGGGAATAGTCCCTAGCTGGGGCTGAAAAGCAGCTGCTCAAGAGACAAGGAACTAATAAAGTGGTTTGGCCCAGTTATAAAACAGATCTTCTTGGAGCAAAGGGAAGGCTTAAAGTGGAATTTGGACTGAGTCTGCCTTATAAAAATTCCATGCTACTAAGTTTAGGTAAAGGATGTTTTTCAGGAGGAAGTATTTCTTCTCCATGAAATACTTTTCTAGCAAACAATTTATTTCAAAGATGAATTCAAAAGATTTTCCTTTGGACTGTCCAGCGAAAGCAGTCATGTCTTGGGGTTGGGGATGTTAGTTCTGAGCTAAACTCATCACACCATCTACAACAGTGGATGGCTGGAGAAGCTTTATTTTTTCATAGTATGTGCCCTGAAAGCAATTATACATCATATTAACTGTACTGGAAATAATTATACAACATTTTGGACATATGCAAATATTACACAATGCTTGTGTGTCTTGAAGTCATGTTTTATGCTATGCATAAATGAATACTTCTGCATGTGATGCCATCAGCATTAGAATAGCTTGTACTCCTCCTCCATGCCACAGTCCCCTACAAAGAAAAAAGGCTACATATACCCCAACGCTGCCAGAACACATACTTTTAGAACTGAAGGAAAAAAGAGCTTCAGCTGAAGACAGTAAACACCTCATAAACAAAGCAGATTTGTCACACTGTTAGGCCAAAGATTACAATGTGAGAAAGGAGTTTACATTTTTATCAGTTTTACTGGTGCAGAAGGAAAGTATCTTGGTTTTCTGTTATAAACAGTGTACTAGCTTGATAGTTGATAAGGCACACAAGAATGAGGGGAAAAAGAAAGTGGATAGTGACACTGAAATAACTCAAGAATTAGCATAACATAAATAACCGTGGAGAGACAGCCACTGAAAATGTGCTCTTGAATTTCAGGACGAAGAGTAGCATTAGCGGTCAGCTGAAGAGATGAAGACACTGCCTAATTGCACCCTGCATTATCATAAAGCTGACTGTAGTTTGGAAAATTTGTGTATGTTGCTGGAAACGTACAGAACAATTACAGTCAATAATACACAGCGGTGTACTCAAAGCACCTTGGGATCATAACAAATACCCCATTCTTTCACAGACTTCCCTCTCAGCAGCACAGCCCTTCCTCAGGTGCTCCATTTGGACCTTAAAGTTATGGAAAAAATAAGACAAGGTGGCAGCATGGTGGCACTGACATGTGAATCTTCATCCTTTGGTGCAATTGGCCTCAAACACACGGGGCAGTGCATAAAGTCTCTTTGTCCTCTCAGACTAAAAATAAAGTAGAAGTTGCCTTTCACATGAGGGATACACTTCACCAGGCTTTTGTTGCCAATTGTAAGATTTTTTGACTTATGATTTTTCAGAAATGAGAAATTTGTGGGATTTTTTAGCTGGAGGAAAAGATTGTTTTCTTTTCCTCCAAACTCAACTGGCCTTCTCCAGATCTACAACTGTACCAGCAACAGAATTGTTTTCAAGTTAGAGATCAGTAATGAAAATCTTAGCCAAAACCATGAGTTTTAAAAAAGTCATAAAACTAGTGCATTAGAAATGAAACCTGGAATTGTAATTATAGTGGTCACAGCTGTTCTTGTTGTAATGGTTTTGCCAATGCTGCCCTTTTTATGCAAAGTTTAGTCATTAAAAAAATAACCCAAGATACAAAACATTTTAAATTGAAGTGGGTTTACTTTACTGTTTTCTACTTTCCACTAATGCATTTTAGATTTATTATTTTAATGTGTTGGGAGCCTGTACTATCCTTGAGGTACCTCGTATCCTGGAATAAAGACAATTAGGCAATTTTTGTCAATAGTCATTCAGTTAATGAAATATCTAATAATATAATTAATCCATTAGTAGGCTGTACCACATTTTAAATATTCTACTAATCCTCAAACCCTTAACTATGCAATCCTACTGCATACCAGCCATGCTTTTCTCAAAGGCCTACGAAGAAATAGCTGTGTAAATAGAAGGAAAAACTAGGGCTCAGGCAGAATGAATTTCCCTTTGCAGACTTGCTTATAGCCCTCGCTTTTTAATGGTACCCATAAAGGACACTCTTCTCAGAAGCAAGTCTTTCTCTTCATGTAACATTCCGTTCCTTTTTTCTGTCTCTTCATTTAGAAAACACTTTCAATAACACTGATACAGCCCTTCTTCTATTTTGTATCAAATCTAAAATACCCAACATGACATTTCCCTCCTTCCTCTTTGCTGAGATGAATGTTGTCCAGGTTCCCTTCGAGGCAGCTCTCAGATAATGAACTTATTTTTAGCCTCTTCATAGCCAGGCCTCTTCTTGGCACAAGAGGGTGCTCACTTGGGTGCTGCAGCCTGACCAGAACTGGCTTGGGAAGATGGGGTATCTTTCTGAGTCCTGTTCCATCCATTCAAAACATCCGTATGCACTTTTTTTTTTTCTTTTCAGAGGTATGCTCTGATCTCTAAAAAATATGTAACAGCTTTCTGTACACTGTCCACGTTTTAGGAGCTCTTAGTTGGGACCCTTAGCTAGGACAGTTGGTAGCCCCTTTACCACAGAAGCATCCTTTTTCATCAGGAACATCAGCCTGGCCAAGGTGACACCCAGAAGATGTCCTCCTGCCTACACACAGCTCTACATTCCTGGCTGACCCCCCTTGCTCACATATCCAGGCTCACGGTGATGGCTGGATTTGGGACTGAGGAAGAAATTTTCCCCAGGCCAAGCTGTGCTAACGTGCTGGCTGTACTTCACTTTGCAGCCTGAGAAAAGCCCATTAACTGGAGGATCACCTGAATATACCATTATTTATCGTGTTTTCTGATACCGCAGACACAGGGAGCACAGAATATCCCGAGCTGGAAGGGACCTGCAGGGCTCATCGAGTCCAACTCCCGACTCCACACAGCACCACCTGAAAATCAGACCGTGCATCTGAGCATGTTAAGCGTGTAACAAGTTGGAATCTCATTCTAAATCTGAAATATGTATGCGTGTATGTCTCAAGAGGACTCAAGTGCCTCACTGAGGCACTCACTGAGGCCCCTCACTGAGGCCACTTGGCTGTAGCGCTAGGGGCTATATTGACAAAGTGTGTCGGTGCAGAAGCTCACCCCTGCAGGAGGGGGTGGCCGTTCACCCATTTTTTGTCTTTTCAGCTGCCATTCGTGCCAGGCCCGGCCTGGCTGCTCTCCCTTTCCCCTGCCCCCAGCCCCTCCACCTCCCTCACCCCCCCCCACCGCCCCCCCCCTAGTAGAGAGACCGCACACACAAGCCTCGCTTCCAAACACCTTTATTCCCCCTCCAGACCAAACAACCGCTATTAACCCACCCCACCACCCCGCTCTGGCCCACCCGAGGCCCCAGCAGCAGCAGCAGCAGCAGCACCACGCCCGGCCCGGCATTGCGGGGCGGAGCGAGCGGCGCCAAGTGCTGAGTCACGGCCCGACGCCGCCATCACGTGTGGCGCCGGGCACGGGCTGGCCGCCGCCGCCGCTTCTTCTGCCGCTGCCCCTCGCGGCTCGCCCCGCAGCCCTGCTCCTGTCCCCGTCCCCGTCCCTATCCCTGCCACCCTGCCCGGCCCGGCATGGGGCTGCTGTCGCAGGGCTCGCCGCTGAGCTGGGAGGAGACACGGCGACACGCCGAGCACGTGCGGAAGCACGGCATCCTGCAGTTCCTGCACATCTACCGCGCCCTGCGCGACCGCCACAAGGACGTCCTCAAGTGGGGCGACGAGGTGAGCGGCACCCCCTCCTTCCTTCCCTCCCTCCTTCCTTCCTTCCTTCATCCCCCCCCCGCCTTCCTCTTCCTCCCTGCCTCTTCCTCCGGCACCGCGCAGGTGCCGCGGGGGGGGGCGCGGGGCTGTAAAACGCCGAAATAATGCGGGGGGGAGGGAGGGGAGAGCCGCGATTAACGCTGTTGTTGGCGTTATCGGAGCCGCGGGGGCTTGGCCTGTCGCGATAGAGCCTGGCGGGGAGAGCTGGGGCCTCGCTCGCTGCCCCCCGACATGCCCTGTCGCCGACATGCCCCGTCCCACCGACAGGCTGTGGGACATCAGCGGGGCGCGCACCCGAGCCGAGGAGCCGCTCTCCAGAGGAGAAAGTGAGGTTTGGGGGCTTTGCGCCATAAAAAGCCGCCCTGTGAGGGGAGTTGCGCTGTGGGGTGGCCGCTGCGTGCTGTAGGGTCTCGCAGCCGGAGCGGTGTGGGTTTGGGATCCTTCAGTACACAGCTGTGAGGTTGGGCTGACAGCCACACACACACATGGGATCAGGAATAAAACCGGAGCTGACGGTGTCCCTGTGGCTCTGAGGCTTAGCTGGAGGGTTTCATCATGCAGCCCAGGTCGATCTGCGAGCAAGCTGGCTCGGCTCAGCTCCCCTCCTCTCCCTGGGGTTCCTGCTCCGAGGAGACAAACCAGCCGAAAGCTGTGCCCCCATCCAGCTTTTTAGGCTGGCTTTTTTTTCCTCAGCACAGGCTCTGCTGTTCCCCTGCGAGATCCAGCAAGTTAACGTAGGGAAAGTAACGGGAACTTGTGGAGGAAAGGGCCGAGCAAGAGTGCCCCTTGCAGCAGCAGCTCGTTGTTGGTGAGCCTGGCCATATAGCAGGGCTGCACCCTCCAAACCTCATCCCTGCCGTGGCAGAGAGCTTACTGAAGCATTTCTGCATGGTAAAGCGTGGTGCTCTTTAACAAGACTCGCGTTTTGTCCTGCCCGGGGTGATAGGGCAAAATTTTAAGGGCAGTATGATTTGCTGCCACACTCCACAAGGAGCTTGGAGCCACGTTCAAAGCGACTGTGAACACTCAGCAGTTCGAGTAACTGGGCTCATAATCTACACATTACTTTAGCAAATGATACTAATCTTAGGTGTGGCAATTTATCTTTATTCTGCCGTATTGTGCAATTTTTTATGTAACAGCATTTAGGAGTGTACTAGCATAGCAGAGGCTCGTTGCCTGTCTGCTGCTCTGCGAGCACAGAAACATACCCGTCTCTACAACTTGCTCAGCTGTGCTGTAGGTAGTGGGGAAAACCGTAAATTCATTTTTCTTGCAAATAGCTAGTTATTAGATAGCCACATTTATATGCTGCTTAGATGATTCAGCTGACTAGCTGGACAATTTTCATGAAAAAGCCTTCTGTGCCCTTCGACCTTCTTGTGTGAAGTCATAGCCCGAGGGTTTGCTCTTGTCTGAAAAACTCTTGAAGATAGAAATCAAGAATGAAGATGACAGGCCTCACATAATGGTAGCGATGAAATCAGGGTAAAGAAAATTACTTTTGTATTCCCAAGATGTTACTGAGACCAGGTTTGGCAAAAGGTACCTTGTTTTGCTTTGTTTTTAATGACTGCTAGGAGGAAAACCCAATTTTCATAATGCCTGCTAAGTTTGTCTTCTACTGTAATGTGATTATTTTAAAGATTGTCTAGTTAGTGCCCTTGTAATGCCTTGTAGTAGGAGAACCAAGGGGTTTACCAAAACAATCCTGTTTTCTGGGGGGTCTCTATGTTTTGGACTGTTTTCTACAACCACAAAGTTTTTGCAACATTTTTTTTTTTTAAAAAAAAAAAAAGCCACAAGTGTAGCACAGAATAAGACTTGCTTAAAAAATCTTCCTAAAGGTCTCTTTGAACCCATGTTTGCAGGTGAAGGTCCTCTGCCTCTTAATTAGTCCTTCTGCCTCATTTAGTTTCAGACTGATCGTTGGCCTCCCTGTTTATGCTTTGCTTCTCCTGGCAGTGGGAAATACAAAATACTGGGCTATTTTATTATCCCTCATCAACCCCCTCCTTCCTATCCTTGCCTTAATGCCCACAGAAGTTGGGCAGCAAATAGGTCTGCAAGTACTGTCGCACATTTTCCTCGTGTTTACATCTTTGTTTCCCACACAGCAGCGTCTGCTCATATGTGAGTTTCCAAAGTAAGGAGTCATTAGATTGTCTTTTAATATTTTTTTTCCTCATGCAGCAAATGAGGAAAAAAAAACTTGAACCTTTTCATGGCTGTGTTTTACAAGTCCAGCAGAGGTAGCCGGTACTACGTTGGGGATGCTTGGCAGATGTTAGTAAAGCAAAGCCTATTCTGTTGCTTCCCATCTTTTCTTCTGGAAAGCTGGTTCGTGTGCACAGCAAACCTCCTGTGCTGCACAGCACCTCGTGTCTGCTGATTGCATTCCTGCAGCTGACGGATGTTGCTTAAATTTCCCTTTGCAGCTTAATGCGGATGCTGGGATCAGACAAGTGGAATGGGAGGCTCTCGGCTAACTCAGCTCCATCCTTTGTGCTGTGTGCATGTGAGTCTGCAAGGACATCAACGTGCACGTGTGCAGGCACACACATGAGTGCATGTATGGGATACTTCAAGTTTTTCTACTCTGTTTAACTGCTAAAAGGGACAGGTTGACTGCTCTGCAGGCTGAATCCCTGTCTGAACTGGGCAGAAGAGTTGGAAAAGAGAAGTTGAAGGGAGCAAATACTGTAGAGAGGAAGGGAGAGCTGCTTCGGCTTGCGGAAGTGTTGAGAAAAGTATGCTAGAGGGAGATCCCCTCAGAAGGAGGGTTGTAGAAAGCAAGCATGGGCAGAACATGGCTTTATTTGAAAATGTACGTGAATTAAAGGGCAATCTGACTTGCCCGGCCTTGTTCAGTGCAGTTGGACGTAATGACCCTGCTGTGGCATGGGGCTGGCTACTGCCAGCGCTGGGGCACGGAACATAACAGGCATCTTCAGCTTGTAGAGAGCTGTTGTCTTCGTGGAAAATGAACGTGGAATTTGGCCATCTTTAAAATGGGTTTGATGCTGAATTCCATGAGGCACTGTGAAAAATGTGCCACTGCTGCTTGCAAGCTGAAATCTTCCTGACTTTTTTCTTTTTTTCTTTCTGCATTTGTTTCTTTCTCAGTCCTTTCTTTTATGTTCTTTTGATCTGTACTCTTTCCTTATCTTTCTTCTTACTTTCGATTTACTCTGCTCCTTGTTCATTAGTTTTTTTTAATTATACCATATAATGCATTAGAAAAAAATGACCACTTGCTGCTCAGCACTTCCTAATGCAAGCAGCAAAGCAGCCTTTCTCAGACACTGCAAGAAGAGAAACCAAAGGTCTCTTACCACAATGACCCACAGGTATTCCTCCTGGTGAGACAATCTTTAAAGTTTTCTCCTTTTTCCTAAGGAAAGCCTGGGCTGTGAGAAGAGCTCCTTTTCCTTCTGAACGATTTCCTTCTGAACGATTTTTTCCCAGGGACCTAGCTACAGCATTAACATCTTGCTGTTCACAGCCTGTATGTGTTTTTCAGGGCAGCAACAGCACAGTGCTCAGCGACACTGCATCACAGCCCGTGGATTTTCAGACTGGTGAAATACTTGCTGCCACTGAAGCACACGGTGTGGGGTTCAGATGCGCACACACTGAGGCTCCTGTTTGATGTCTGTTACTCCTGTAAATCCAGGAACAGTCCAGAGTGTTTTTAACAGTGATGAATCTAGCTCACCTACTGCAGGAAATAAGTACAGCTCCTGTCCCTAAAACACACAGGTGAAGGTTTGGTTACTGCTCCTCTAAAAGACAATAAAGAGGCCTAGAGAGAGACACACTTGCTCAAAACTGAACGCAAAGAGGAATTCAGGTGGAGACGAGAAAAGACACTGACTGTTCAAAGGAACAGGTTCAGAGAGCACCACGGTGTGCAGGAAAAGCGTTCAGCTTTTCTCATTTTACAAGAAATTTGGGTAAGCTAGTGGAGCAGAAAAGCAGCAGATGTCCTTTTAAGATAATTACTTCATGAAGTCTGGGTGTCCTGTGGAATAGGATGCCACGTGATAGCTTTAAAGCTAAGGTGGACACTCAGGTGGATGACAAGCATACAGTTTATTATGTTTTTTATTCAAAACGTGTTTTTATATCCACATGCTGCAAGATATATGTCCATAACCACTTAGATAATAGTATATATATTGTTTTAGTTTGAGCCCTTGTCACTTTAAGGGCAATGGCTTCTGGTCTCCCCCCTCCCCCAGCAAAATTCCCCCCACGGAATGCATTTTTCAATTTCTTTCATGCAGAAATTCCCCGTGATGGCCCCCTGCCAGATGCAGCGTGTCTGGATGCCTCTGGATGGTGGCTGTCCTAGCCTATGTGCCCGCTGCGTGAGGAAGGGCAGCACTCGTGAGCCATTTGATTATCCCTCATGTGTCTGCCTGATCACACTTGGAGCTTTGACTAGATAAAGGGAGGCTGACGTTGTTTGTTTACAAATAATTTGTGCTTCCTTTATTTTAGAACAAGCAGCAGGTGTGGCTACAGTGGCTGTGTCGGCTGATAGTTGTTGTACTACCTCTCTGCCCTGCCTTAATCCTGTGGGAAACGCCTAAACGGAACTGAACCTAAAGCTTCCAGCTCTCAAAACATGCGTGAAGTGATAACCTCTATTTAGTGGTTGTATTTATGGAAATTACGAACTTCAAACATGGGTTTCTATTAAGTTTCTTTATACCTGGTATTGCTAGAGTGGCCTGTCCTGAGCTTAAAACTGCCCAGGCTGCAAAAAAAGGGGAGCAAACAAACAGGAAGAAAACTGCAAAATACTTAATATCCACAAGTCTAGAGCCATTATGCTGAAGAAAACATAGAAGTTTAGATTTAGAGAGAAAACATCTGAGAAGTTTAGCTCCAGAGCAACAGGAAGGGGCTGGGATTTGGGAAGCTGTCCCTGACTACTAAAAATAAAAATAAAA